CGACGCTTTCTCCAGACGGCTGCCTCTTTATTGGATGGTATTGTAGACCGGAACCACAATTCGGAGAAATTTTTCGTCTTTGTTATCACTGTGCTCCAGCGCAGTCCTGAGGTTATTTGAGCCCGTGATATCAAACGACGCCTTTCCTCACTGATGGATGCTTGGGACTCAGGAAAGTTTGCCATGTTAGTTCAGGAGACAGAACGTTGCATGCAAACCTACCTTAAATCCAAGCAGAAATCATCCACCCTTGACCAACGAGCCAGGATCTTCCATCAGAAGATGCTCAAGGGTGACGTTCGTGGTGCAGTCCGATTTATATCGGAAGTAGAAACCTGTGGGGTTCTGCAGCCCACTGATATTGACACAAAGTCCGGGCTTTCTGTCCTGGAGGCACTCCAATCGAAGCACCCTGAACCCCGCTCGGTTGATGCCTCCCATCTCCCCCACTATGACGCAACACCTGATTTTGTCAATCTCCAAATTACCGATGGTGTTATTGAGCACGTAGCTGGTCGCCTGTCTGGCTCTGCCGGACTCGACGGCACCGATTCCCGTGCTCTCTCCCATTGGCTTCTTGGTTTTGGCTCGGATAGTGGCCGCTTTCGCCAAGCTCTGGCTCGTCTCACTGAGTGGATGGCCAACAGTTTGGTCCCGTGGGCCGCCATCCATGGCATCATGAGCAATCGTCTGATTGCCCTTGACAAAAATCCCGGTGTTCGTCCTGTTGGCATTGGACAAATCTGGCGCCGTGCAATCGCAAAATGTGTCCTCCGTGTGGCTGGTCCAGCTGCTACCGAAGCTTGCGGCATTGACCAACTTTGTGTTGGTCTCCAAGCCGGGGTTGAAGGTGGCGTCCATGCTGTCCAACAACTCTGGACTCAATTTGCCCATGAGCCAGAATGGGGCTTCTTGAAAATTGATGCGCCCAATGCCTTCAATGAACTTGATCGCACCATGATGCTCTGGACTGTACGTTATGAATGGCCTGCTGGTGCTCGGCTAACCTTCAACTGCTACCGACACTACTCGCTACTCATTGTCCGAGCCAATAATGGCCACTCCTTCGCACTTTACAGCTGTGTTGGAGTGGTCCAAGGAGATCCTCTCTCCATGTTCCTCTACGGCCTTGCCCTCCTCCCTCTAATCCGCATCTTGAAGCAACAACACCCTCGTGTTCGTCAGCCATGGTATGCGGATGACGCTGGTGGAGCCGGCAAATTTGTCGCCATACGAAAATTCTTCGATACTCTCCTTGAGTTGGGTCCTCGGTTTGGGTTTTTCCCGCAACCAGACAAGTGTGAGCTTATCACTACGCCTGCCAACCGCTATGTCGCCCGCGTTGTATTTCAGAAATATAACTTTAAAATAATGCATGGTTCACGTTATTTGGGTGGCTTCGTAGGCATTGCGTCCGAGTTCACACCCTGGCTGGAATCCCAAACCCGTGAGTGGGAACATTCTGTAGTACTTCTCTCCGAAGTCTGCTCGAAATACCCCCAATCCGCTTACTGTGGCTTGCAGAAGTCTCTGCAGCACAAATGGCAGTTTGTGCAACGGGTGACAAGGTGCTCTGCCGATTCCTTTGCAGCCATCGAGGCCGCTATCGCCACCACCTTCCTCCCAGCACTTTTTGGGGTCGCTCCTTCGGAGCTTCCCGCCCGCCAACTCACCAGCTTGCCAGTCAAAGCAGCTGGCCTCGCTCTTCCCAATCCCACTAGCACTATCGATGAAAATCGTAGTGCTAGTCAGGACATCTGCAGTGTGATCACAGCTAGTCTGTGTGATCCCTCCGAAGAATTCCACATTGCGGATCACCGTCAGGCAGTGTCTGATGGTCGTGAGGCTCTTCGCGCTCGCCGCGAAGCTGCAGCTGCTGTGAACCTGCACAAGGTCTTAGGTACCTTGCCACGTTCCACTCGTTCTGTTGTGAAGCGCGCCCCGGAGACTGGCGCCTGGCTTCATGTGGTTCCATTGCCAGAAAATGGCACTGTTCTCGCTGCCCAGGAATTCCGCGATGCTTTGCACTTGCGCTACGATCGGAGCCCCTCTGATCTTCCCAGCCACTGTGATGGCTGTGGAGAGCGCTTCAGTGTCACTCACGCCCTTTCCTGTACCAAGAGCGGTCTGGTTCTCCAACGCCACAATGAAGTGCGTGATGAACTCGGTGATCTCGCTGCCAAGGCATTCATCCCATCTGCAGTTCGCGACGAACCCCGTATCCAACTTAGTCGCTCTGCAGCTACGGATGCTTCGCCTTCCAGCGACTCTCCTGTAGTTCTCACCCCATCCGAGGAACGAGGTGATCTCCTTATCCGTGGCCTTTGGCAACGCGGAACTGACGGCATAATTGATGTTCGTGTCATCAAACGCCTGTCTTTCCCAACGCCGCCACTTTACTCCGTTTGTTGTCTCTGCTGATGGTCTCCTTGGGGCCGCAGCTGAGGCACTCGCGAAACGTATTTCCGCTTTGCTCGCTGCAAAGTGGGAACGCCCTTACTCAGTGGTGCGTGGCTACGTTAATGCTCGGCTCAGCCTAGCTATTCTTCGGGCCCGCCACCTCTGCATGCGTGGCTCTCGTGTCCCTGCTGGCACCATGAGCTACCGTCGTTCTCTCTGGGATGCCGATGGTGCACTTGCACTCTTCCGCTAATTTTGCTCCCTTGTCCTTCCTGGTTTTCCTCCATGCACCCCCTTCCCTGCCCCCCTTGTTTTGCCCTGCTCGCGTCCTCATTGCTCTCCCCGTATGCCCACCACACCAGCCACCCACCACCGCAGCCACTGCTTTGCCTCGCCTCGCCCCCCTCGCTCCTTAACGTATCTATTTAGTATTTATTTTCTACCTATCATAGTATGTGCTCCCTTGACTCGGCGGAATTGATCCGAGATCCGAGAGCCAACGTGGCGACAATGTGGAATTCGAGAGATCTTGAGATCTTGATGACGAGATTGATGATTATGAGATGATGGTCTCTCTTTTCTTCAGCTGTCTTGCTTGGGTCGTTCAGAGTTTCCCTTCATCAATAGAAACCGCTATCTGCAGATTAGACATCAAACGCCAGAAAGAGAGAGGCTCGATGCAGCACTCTGAAAAGCCCAATGCTCAAGGAGCGGCTTCTATGAGTCCCTCGTCGCTCACGGATGAAGCATCAAGATGTGAGACGGGTTCTTCCGGCACAGTTCCTTCTGATGGCAAAGGAGAAGACGAACCACCAACTGCAAAGATGGCCGAGATTGAGGATTCGAATGATGCAACTACGATTATCTCTCCGTGTGATGTGCAAAATCTTCCCCAACAGTCTCCGCCCGCATCCACCCCAGGGGCATTCGCCGTTGTGAGGTACCGGCAAGGTGCTCCTTCGGCAATAGGGCAGGACCACTCCCCAGAGGCGAGGACCAGAGAAGACCATCCGCTGGAAGTGCAGATCCGTGAATCACATGTTGTTTTGGATGATCCAGAAGACATCCATGATGAGAGACGTAGAATTATTGGAGGTGTCGACGGCGAACTGGAGCTCGTGGAGGCCACAGTACTTCCGACGAAAAATGATTCCTGTTCGGAAGATGATCAAATCAAGGACGTCGCCCATTGGTTGATGGGCGTCTGCGTCATAAGTGCTTTGATACTTATATTGGTTTTCTCCCTGGGGTCAATGAGTGCAACGGCAGAAGCAAACACGCCCTTGATGGAATCCTATTCAGTAGGTCCAAACACAACTATTTCAACAACGCAGGAACGCTGGTATCCTCCATTCACTCTGGACATTCCAAGGACCGTCATTACAGCCATCGAAGAGGACGAGCAAAGCCCCTTCTACAAGGCAAATCTTTGGATGTGGAATGACCCAAACTTGGCTTCTTACTCTCCCCAGAGACAAAAGCAAAGGTTCTACATGGTGATGTTGTTCTATGCTACTAATGGTGAGAGTTGGATTCACAGTGACAACTGGCTCGACTATCAAGTAGCAGAATGCAAGTGGTTCTCACAGAGTAGATATGTGGAAGATAGCAAGTACTTTGAACAAGATGTCTGCGACTACAGGGATGGCGACGACGAAGTGGTCATCAATCTGAGCTTGGCTTCGAACAACTTGACGGGGTCCTTCCCTATTTGGTGTGCTGCATTCATTCCTCACATCCAAATATTGGACCTGGGCAACAACCACATTGAGGGATCGCTACCAACCATTACTGCCACTCCCAGCATTGAGGTTTTCATTGTATCCAACAACCCCTTCCAGGGTGCTGCCAGGATGAGTGCTGGGGCCTATTTTGAGAACATGAAAGTGCTCCGAACGGATGGGACAAAGTTGCAAGGAAGCAATGGAGCTGCTTTGGTTTATGTTACCCCAAACATTGAAGTTTACAACTTCACGGCTCAGCAGTACAGTGGACGGATTTGGCCACAATATGGCTTGCTGACAAACATGGAATACCTAGGTAAGTTCCTTCAATCAACCGGGCGTCAGCCGTCTCCATGCATAGACCATGCTTATTTTAAAGTTTCCATTGCTTTATCCTACTAGGGTTTGGTCATACGAACACTTTTAGGTACCATTGCTACCGAGCTAGGATTGGCAATTTCATTGAGAGAGCTTGACATGAGCAGTTTGCCCCATGTCTACGGGACAATTCCGTCAGAGTTTGGTCAGTTGTCCAATCTACGGCTCTTGGATCTTCTGGGTACTCCCATCACGGGAACCATCCCTGCATCATTATGTGCTAGAGAAGAGGTGGACCCGTTGAACCTTACTGCTGACTGTGATCTGCTGCAATGTTGTAGTACCTGGTAGGAGCTACCTCATTGTTCGAATCAAGTGATTGATTCTCTACATGTATAGAGTGGACGCCATCGTGACGGCATTCTCTCTGTGGTTCCGAGGAGACCATGCTTTTCAAGTCGAGGTAAGGTCACCTCAGAAATTTGAACGATGATTGAAAGATGCCCGAAACTTCGAAACTTCGAGCTCAACACAGTCGAGCGAGTTGCCCTTCAACCCAGTCATTGGCTGTAGAAGTCGCTGCCTGTACGCGTATTCCGCAAGAACCTAGGCTGTTTACACCGTGGCTCATTCCAAGGAACTCACGGCCTGCGAGGAACATGCCCACCAGAACAAGGAGGCCTGGGTAATGGTAATCATGACCACAGGAGATCTTGATCTGATTGAGTCAGATGGTTTCTAACATTTGTGCAAAGGCGGACCTGATGCGTCTGCATCGTGCATAGCTGTACATGTAGTAAATCGACTAAAGACTGTTAATGTATTGCAAACTAGATCAGTGTGGAAGTTTCGGCAGAAGGCCCGTATCCATTTGCTAGACGGCGGCACCGATTCAACTTCGGCGGTATCTGCTTTCAGGTGTGGACTACTCGCGTCGGGAATGGAACAAATGAAAGATCATGGAAGTCACCGCCAGACCGCCAGAGAAAAATACTGAAAAACCCTGCAAGGACGCCGACTCTTCGAAATCTTGGGCTGCCCAAGCCGCATCTATGGTTTGGGTCAATGTCCTATTCAGTTCCGATGCCTCCCAATAAACACCACAAACGGCGCCTTGCGGAAGCTCATCTGAAGCGGCTGCATTGTCACAATAACCGCCGAAATCGTAGCTCTCGATTGCATCGCGGTGGCAAAACTGAGCCATGCCTTCGATAGTAATGCCTTCCTCGGGGTTGTATGCGCCATCTAGTAGGGCGTCCAGCACCATGACGCGGGCCTCAAGATCCTCCATCAAGCACCACAACGCGCACTGGGGCAACAGGGTCGTGGAGCTTTCCCATAAGTTGCACGGTTCATGGACATTGAAGTTTGCGAGAGGGCCGCAGAACATTTCCTCCCCATCCAACGACATCGTAGTGATATCTTGAAGCGATTCTGCCAGATGCTTCACCTGACAATTAGCAGAACATACCACACCCCACGTTTCATCAAACAAACCCTGGCAAAACTCTGCAGTGTTGAAGGCCGTATCCATCTTGAAACAAACGTAGCTTAGCGAAAAGAATGGGCGAGGAGTTTGCACTGCTGTGTAGTAGAAGACTGTGCGGTCTTCAGATATATTTGCTTTCCCGAACAGGGTTCGTTTGCAAGGTGGCCGCCGTGGTTCGCAATGATGATCAGAATGACCAATCTCTTTGGTGACCACGACCCGAATCCACATCTGTCGTCGCCCTTCATACCCTTCCAAAACCAGCTCTGCGCGTCCTCTTGCAGGTCTAGGTGCAGCGGGCGTAGGAAGTCGTACGTATCCAGCAAGCAGTTACCACCAAGTGTCTCGGGTGACGCTGGGTTCATCTATGCGAACAAGAAAAGTGCAGCTGCGGCTCGTTTATTACGAGGAGCCAATTGGCACGAACCTATCAAGACTGTGGCGAACTGTGAGCGCCACCCTCTCAGGAGGCGGATGGAACATCAGAGAATGTCGGATTTAAAGCTCGCGAGAAAGCTTCCGACATCTTCTCAGCGCTTTGTGGTCGCAGAACGCCGAACAGCAGATTGATTCGATTGATCATTCGATTCCATTCCATTTTGCAGGCATTTGAATATTTGCTCTGACCATGGAGCCTTTCCCACCCGTGCTGACTGCAACAGCAGTGTTGAAACTGCATCTACAGATATTAGCACTGCAGATCTGCATGAAGTGTGTGATATGGTGGCTCCTGATACCACACCATCGGAAGTGGACCTGGTGGCTCGAGAATCGAACGTTCAAAGAGACAAAACCTTTCAGGATGCAGGTCTTTCCTTGGAGCGTTTCCCTCAGTCTTCTGGTGAGGCAGATTTGGTTGATAAGCTCTTGGCTGATGAAATTGAAAAGCTGTCTTTAGAAGAGAAGGAGCGAAATACTTTTGATTTATATGGAATGGCCCAAGAAACCAAGGACCCTGAGAACATTGATGAGCTGCTAGAGCAAATGGAGCTGGAAATTCGAAAGATAAATCGCCGGGAGGCCTATGAAAAAGCCAAGTATTTGAATGAAGAATATGTGATGGGAAAGGATTTCCGGCATATATTTCTTTGCTGTGATGGGTTTGATGTCAAGTCTGCGGCTCACCGAATTGTGCAGCATTTTGAGGTCAAACGGGAGCTGTTTGGTGATGCACCTCCATTGGCCAGAAATCTGCTCATGAGTGATCTCAGTGAAGATGACATGAACGTTCTCAACTCAGGAGCCTGGCAGATCTTGCCTGAGCGTGATGCTGCTGGCCGTCTGGTCTTGGTGATATGCCCTGGCTACAGGGACAACTCTGTAGCAATGGATTCTCATGTAAGTGCTTCAGAAGCTGTGCTGCAGTGTTGTCCTTGCCATGCTCTTTGTGTCTAAATGCAGTCTTTTGTCTTCCTTCGAATCAATCTATTTGCAGCTACGTAGCCAAGCGTATTTTGTGTTGAGCTTTCTCCTAACTGAGGATGTACAACGGAAGGGCATTGTTGTGGTAGTCTGCCTTTTTGGAGAATCCCTGGTCAAACTACAACACACAATTTTTCTCCAATTTGATCGAATGAAAAAAATCAGGTCAGGGGGGGTGCACAAGGTGGCTGGTGTCCATTTCCTGTTGAGCCAAGAATACCTTCGTCCTTTGGTTTTTGGCATGCAATGGTTACTTCCGGAGCACTTGAGAACCAAAGTACGTGTCCATTTTGGGAACTTTGAACAGCTCAAATTCAAATTGCAGACCTTTGGAATCCCAATGGATTGCTTCCCATGCCATCCCAACAAACCCATTAATCTGGAGAATCATCTTCAATGGATTCAAAGCCAACGAAAGCAGGAAGAAAGGGGCAACAGTAATACAGCTGATACCATAGTCCCTGGTCGATTTGATGTCCTCTTTGGACGAGGAAATACAAGGAATCACACGGGCAACGTGAGAGCTGCACACATTGCTGACATGTTTCGAGACAAATATGAGTCGGTTGGGAAGTTTGAAAAGACAGCAATTGCTGAACGCATTGTCACAATTATACAAGAATCGCAGGGGCGTTTTTTGAAATGGGAAGATGATGTATGGGTAGAAGTGGACCAACAAGCTGCAAGGAACAAGGTATGTGCAGAAATGGATGAATATCTTGGCACGGAGAAATTATTTAGGTGTTCTTTTTCACCCTTTCGTTGCTTGTAGATTTCCCACTTTTATCGAAACACACGCAACAAAGGAGGCCCCAGCCAGAGCAAGCAATCCACATCTGATGGGTCAGCCATTGATGATGGCTCTGCCACCAACTCAGAGGGAGAATTGTTGGCTTCAGCTGTGTCCAAGCGAACACAATCACATTCAACACAACAATCGACAAAGCGAATTCAGAAAAGGCGCCCACGGGATGACTAACTCGAGTCGATGCGTCGTCCAAAGATCGGGACTTTGGATTATACAGCTTGTGGGAGAATTTGTTTTGTCCCGGTAGGACCGAGCATTCCTTCGGTTACGTCTATTGGTGCACTCACGATTATTGCAAACGCGCGAGTGAAGCTTTCAAGGCATCAGCCAAGCTGTCAAATAGCAACGTGCTATTCCCAGCAACCATGCAATGGAGTATATATGGATCCCAATAACCACCAATTGAAACAACCTGTTTTGGCTTTTGCAGTTTCATTGAGAAGGCCTTCCCGTTTGCCTACCGCACGAATAGTATACACATACATCTGCACCAGCCATGGTATGATATGCCTAGCTAATAGACAAAGTGTACTTTTAAACTAAACTACCAACTCAACTCACGATAGGTTCTATATAGTGTACTACCATTGATCGAGTGAATTGTGTTTTTGTTTTGTTTTGTTTTGCGCGTGGAATCCTGCTAGAGGCGTGCGATTGAATTGATTGTCCTGTCGTTGCATTGCATTGCATTGCATTGCATTCACTCATTTTAGTTTTTCTACCGCCCCGACCCGAATTCGGGAATGGGCAAATTCCACACCCACTTGTTGGCGGCCCACTTGATGCCCTTCCGAACGGGACACGCTCCATGCAACGAAAGTGGATCGAGACTTCCATCGGGTTTGAGACTGTAAAAGATAATGACTTTTCCACGAGCCGGTTTGACTTTGAGCCCCGTTTGACAATCGGCCATGTTGCGGGGCGGTGGCGCTCCACCAAATCGTGGAAAAATAGTTTCGCCCCCTTCTTCGACATCACTGAGGTACCAAAACACGGTAATCATACGATTGCGTCTGCCATATTGAATAAAGTTGCGGAGTGTGGAAGGATCATTCTGATAGAGTTGCTTGTCAAAGTAGTCGTGGTGGGCGTCGTACTGTGATAGAAAACAAACATACGAATCAATGATGAGTTTGTACCGTCATATCCAAATCACCTCCATTTTCTATAATATACACACACCTTTTCTCCATTCCCATAGCGGAGTACTTGTACATTTTCTTGATGGACGCGTGGCACTCGTACCAGACTGGCGGTTCGATAATCAATTTCGGAAATCATGGGATGTGTGTTGTCGGTCAAGAATGTGGATTGCGACGTTCGAAAATCCGAGGCGGGTCGTCCCTTGTCCATATCCATGAGTGTGACTTCCGAGTATGCCATACTGGGTGTCGCTTGGGTTTGAAAAAAGTCGCATTCTTCTTCTCCCAAAAATCCATCCACAGCAAAGACGAGGGGCTCCAAGGAAATGGTTTCCAAAGTGGCGGTTTGTTTTTTGGCAGAGGTGGTGGAAGTAGAATCATAATGAAGTGGAATGGTCCGTCGAAATCCAATCTTGACACCCGGCCAAATGAATTGTCCACCTTGAAAGACGAGTACCATTCCCATACTCGCTACTCCATCCATTTGTACGTGTTCATTGTCTTCTCGCAGTAGCAATTCACCGTCGGGAGAAAAGACGGCCCACGGTTGATGCAGTTCGTCCATGGGAGTCAATTGGAGGTGGGTGACAAGCGCGTCCTTGAATCCATCCCAAGCGGGCAATCCTTCCAGTTGGATGGAAGGAGGATTACTAGTGTGCTGGGCGTTGGGGTAAAAGACAATCTGCAAGGATGCCATGGTTTGATTGAGACACACCACGTGCATTCCAGCGACGGGTTTATCGTGGAGGACTTGCGAGAGACGGTCGGATGTGCACGCAAATTCGGGGGGAGGATGGAGACGGTCCGTCATGGTCACATCTGATTCTTGTTGTTGAGAAGACATGGTCTTTTGCTTCTGCAAGTCTCGATGCTTATTAGTAGTAGCGCTAGTAGTAGTAGATGACTGATGACGCAGGAAATGAGGAGTCAAGAGTCCCAACGACAAGGACAACAGACCTGCCACTACGCAAATCCACACGGGAAACACCAATCCACTCTTCTTGCTACTACTACTACTACTACTGCCGTTGCTAGGTTGATGATGATTGTTGTGGCTCTTTTTGTTGTCCTGCTTTTTCTTCTGGACTGGAGGATTCTGATTCGAGTGCTTTTTCTTGGCCATTATGGCTGTCTGTTGTGTTTGTGTTGGTTCTTGCACCACCTTACAGACAGACAAAGATCAGATAGAGATGCAGAGAAAGACAAAGAAAGAAACACAGAGAAGACTATCAAGGATTTTATGTATCGACCATCGTGTAAGCTTGGATCTTGGAGGCTGGGTCATGTCTTTTTAGCGAACCCCAGCTGCAGGTGACGTGGGTACGGTAGTCAAAGCTAATGAATCCGGTGAGAGAACGCGTTTAGGAGCATTAGAGGAAGTGAAACTGCAAATTGGATTTCGAGAACTGCGCGACTGAACAGGGAGGCTTCCGAGAGAAGAAAAGATCCTAGCTGCCACCTCCCAGAGGCTGACCACGAAGAGGCGTACCGGTACCGGTAGCCGAAGGCCGAAGCTAACATTTACTGTAACTTGAGCCAAGCCGTGCACCATGAGGACCCTTGCCTTTTGTCTTCTTTACACTACTGCTAGCTAGCTAGCTGCATGGGCTTGTCAGGAATCGAATCGAATCGAATACCAACAAGGCACGAGATTTGGCCACACGTGCTCGAGATGGAAAGTTTGCACATGAAGAATATCAGCGTGAGACCTTTTATGGTTCCAACTTGAGAGCATGCTCGGAATTTCAAAATGGATTCGATTCAGTGCTGTCACCAATCAAGCCAAGCTGTCATTTTAGCTCAGGGAGGCGAGGTGGTACTCGATTGTCCATAGACTACCATTACTACCATGTCAACTCCCCTGTGTGGATGGATGGACCTTTAGAAGGAACAAAGCCAAGTCATTCATCAAGAGTGTCATGGTAACCGAGTTGCTTGTGGACTGCATGACTCTCTGTGGATCGCCGAGTTGTGGATGAACCCACCAGTGGCACCTTGCTTTCATGGTCAGTACTACTGGTACAGCACAATCAGCAACCACAACTTTTGACAAGCAAGCAACTTTTGTAGCTACCCGTAGTAGATAAGTTGTTCTACTAAGTAGTCTACTGTACTAGCTTGCATGCAAAACTACGTTTTCATCTGGAGAAGTGTGGTGTGGTACTGACTGGCATGGCAGAACTACATGTAGCTGTACTATACCGTACTGCATGTTATAAGGGCAACGCCTCGTCATTGGCCTCGTTGGCTGTGTTAGCTATTTGTTGTTGTGCAGAACGCTGGATCAGGAAAGCCTGCCAGGAAGGAAGGGCTGGTTTTGCGGGATCCATGAGATCTTGGATCCCGTTTATGACGCTATACCAGGGACTTACTATTCAAAAGAAGGCGCGCGCTGTGCTTGTGGTTGTCATGCTCGCCCTCGATTTCTGATTTCTGATTATTTTTCTTTTTTTCGTGAGACGCTCCCACAATACTTCGAGTGCTTTACTATATATAGTCTACTCTCAACAGACTCGACTCATCGCTATTGCTATTGCTATATAGCTACTAGTAGTCTGCCAGTTAATTCGCAGTGCCTTCATTCGCCCAGGCGTCATCAGTCCGTCACGGCGGCAGTGAAGAATTCATTCAATCTTGGTGGCTGATATCATACGGAATCATTTCGATGGTACCATGTTTTCCAGCCCCTTGAACCGTAATCGACGAACAACCACCGAAGTTGCTGGTTTGTCGGCTCCCAAAGAAGTTTCTGTGCCTCGACGTGATACAAGCACGATAGAGGATCCAGTGGAAGAATTTCATTATTTATTGGATCGCCTCGGCTGTCTCATTGAAATTTCCAAGGAGGTTTACGAGGATCAATCGTTATTATCAAAGACGGCGTCGCCCGAAAAAACGTCTTTGGGTTTCTTTCGCCGGAACCGAAAGGGCAACAAGGCGGAGAAGGTCCCCAGCAATGAGGAAAAAGACACGGCCACTACTACTAGTAGTAGTAAGGAGGAAAAGCCCGGTAAAGAGAAAGAGCAGGACGGTGACAAGGCTGAGACAGACGCTGAACAAGGCATTGGTGAAGCCACTACCAGTTCGGCTAGTAGTGACAACAACAGCATCAACAACAACAACAATGCCGTCGAAAAGAAACCCGCTGCTTCAACGAAACCAGCACTTTCTGTTATCACGAGTACCACCAGTACACCTATCAAGGAAACAATAGGGTTCGATGGAAAAACAACACCAAAATCACCGGCAACACCACCCACCGGCATTACGTCGCCAAGGGGCACATCCAACAGTAATAACAAGAGTGACCCCAGTTTCATTCCCATTGTAGAAGAAGAGGAATGCATCGAGATCATTCGAAGAGTTGCGGAACTCGTCGTCATTAGCGAGAGAGTGGTCACCAATCAGATGGAAAAGGATGACAAGCTCAAGAATCAACAGCGGAAACGAGGCTGGGGAAGCAACATTATAGATGACGACGAGGAGGAGATCAATCCAACTGTGGAAAATGTAGAAGCGGGCAGTGAAGCATACTCGCCCATCTTTGACCTGTTCTTTGAACGAAATGGAATGGGCATGTTATCGGATATACTCCTGGGAAACGTGTTCAAGCTCTACGCGGACGAACCTGCCACGGTTCCCAATCTAGTCACTGACAACCCTAATTCGGGAGAGGGAGAAGGAGTGTTGGCGGCAGAGCAAAAAGAGGAATTGTCGAAATCCGCTGCTGAATCCACCAAATCATCGGACCAAGCAAAGGAGCAACGGGAGCCGCCTGCGTCGTCATTGGGCAAGACGCCGCCAAGCGCATCCACCAAAAGGCTGCTGCCTAGTTTGAAGGTTGCAACTCAAGCCGTACAAAGCGTTTCCATTCTTATCCAAAACGTTTCGAGAGCAACGTCTCTCTACTTTGTGCTCTCCAACAACTATGTCAACGCCCTCGTCGATCTGCCGCTGGATTTGTACACAGCCGCAGAGTTGAAGAAGGAAATCATCAGTGGCAATGCGGATCCAATGACCAGGTTGAAGACGTACAGTACTCCCGATCTGGCAGAACTAACAACGCACTTTATTACTTTTTTGAAGAGCCTGGCTATGCGAATGAACACCGAAACGCTGCAGTTTTACCTCAAGTATCCAACTCCAGTTATGGATCAACAAGATACAGAAGCTGACGAAGAAACTAGAGCCAGAGCCATTGAGTTTCCCTTGTACGCAAGAGCCCTGGACTTTTGCGCGGCTCACCATGATTCCTTTGTGCGGGTCACAGCCATGAACATTTGTCTCAATACTTTGAGGCTCACCACGGTTTCACCAGAGGGAGAAGAGGATGATACCAAAGCGGATGCGGTTGGATCTTCGCCGGATGGCGTGCTTCATAATGCCAATCCACTGCCTTTCCGAGAGCGATTAGCAATTGCAACCCATACATGTGCTCCTTCCCGTGTGGATCGCCTGGCTACGCCCATTATCACAAAGCTTTCAAACATCTGGTGTTTGCTCCAGGAAAAATTCTTGGACCTGGACACTCACCCAGAAGGCGACAACAAACATCATGTGAATAATAAGAAGGGAACGTCACCACACATCGATCCAATCAAAGAGCGCGAGCGAAAGCACAATGCGTTCAAAGATGCCGCTAACACACTTCAGGACCAGTTTCTCTTGCTGGACGACCTTCTGAAGGTGAGGTTTCCTTGATTTTTGCTGAGTGGATCATGTTGTTGCAACTCCTTACCATTCCTTTCGCCGGGTAATCTCTCCTCCAACTACAGGTCGGGCTCACGGCGTTGAATGAGCAAATCATTGAAATGATGTTCGCTACGTTTGTCTATCCGTTGCTCCTGCAACCCCTACTGGTGTACTACCAACGATTGGCAACTGACGCAGACGAAACGCTTCCCCTGGCTGATCCATTTGCACGACCAACCGATTTCCGGACGAAAACTGTGGACTTTAGTCTCGTGGGACGGGCCCCACCTCATGTGACGGCACCTGCAAAAACTGCCCTCTTTACTCTCGCTGGTGTGTTCCATATGATCTCGAATAAACCCTTCTGTCGCCTCCTGTACACTGCGTTGTTTCATCCCTTATCACCAGATGCCTCGGGTGAGACTGTGATTAACGCTGAAGGATGTGTAACAACCGTAAGCGCAAACGGAAAGAAGAGAATCAGAATCGACACGGATGATGGGGACGACCGAAAAACATATGTTTTTGGAGGCATGGAACAGGCGTCGTCGACAATTGAGCATGACGAGGAAGAGAGTTGTGTTTTCGTGCTGTCGCCAGCACTGGCACAAGTTCTCAAGTGTATTGGAGGCGGTTCCTCGACAAAGACGAGACCCAATCCGTACCGCCGCGCGATCCTGCAATGCCTGGAAGTGCCACATCACATGTCTGATTTTAGGAAGCTTTCATTCAACACAGTGGACGCTGCATTCTCTGTTTTCGACGGGGAGTTCTTGAAGCAAACACTGCTTGGAGCTGAATTTGTGGATGCCAAGGAGGGCAGCGATTGCGACCCAGTCAGATTGAGGAACGAGGTCGTGGCTGCCTTGTGTGAAGGGTTGGTAAATGGAAAGCCAGGTCCTTTTGGTAAGTGGTTGAACAGGTGTTTACTTGGTGCGGGAACGCAGGTTGTCATAGCAGACCATGCTTACATGTCTTCTTACCTCGATCAGGGACGTGGAAGTTGCAGTTTGACATGGTTGCAGCCCATGCTTTGCTGGCCGCAATCTGGAAAAGCCCCGAGGCAATCAAGGCTGCCGCTGAGATCGTCGCTGTGAGGTTCCGGAAAGGAGCTTTGTTGCTCTCCAAAATTCCTGCTCTTATTCCTACTACTCAGCACTTGGGAAGCATTATGAATCTCGTCTTCTACGAGGCGGCAAGTAAGCGGAGAAAGCCTACCTACACTGAGCTTTATTCGTTGAAGGACACGTCTCCAGAGAGTTTCTCCACTGCCATTTCGTCAGCGTCGACGTTTCGGAGTTTGACCAATCGTTCATTTGAAGCACCTCCGTCTTCCATTCACATCAACAAGTTTACAGAGGTAGGCGATCTTTGATGGGTCTGGCAGAATAAGGCATTGGCTCGGATGTGCTATCTCATCTTCTTTCTTTGTGGTTGAACAACAACAGCACACAGCAATGGATTTGGGTTCGAGCAGCTGTCGAGCCATTCTGAAGCTAGGTCAGAACGCCTTTTGGTTTTCCATGTGAAATTGAAGGTTATACTTTTTGAACTAACACTTCCTTATCCAACGATGTCAACCAACTCAACTACAGAGGCATTGTCTACCTTCTTGAAAAGAATATCGGGAGATGACAGTGCCCAAATAGAAGGAACCAGTCCGTCTGGATTTGCTTTCACCCTTGACCGGGGAGTCGTCAGCACCAAGGAGTGTCACATTGATGAGTTGACACGGAGCATTCATTCATATCTCTCCCCCACGTTTTGTGCTGCCTTAACGGGCGCCGAAAGCGACAAGTCTGCAGATCGCCCAATTCCCGGAACCACCGTGCCCCTGGCAGGCCGCAGCGCTATGCCTTGCGTGTGCGAAGCGCCAGCGAACTCTGGTATCTCTGACAACGGTGCGAAAATGGTTGTTGAAGGGGTCACATGGCAATCACTATATTTGGCCTTCTTCGGCTCCTATTTGGTGCTTGCCGAGCCAGCAGCAGGAAGGTGCGTTTATTGCAATGTATTTTTTGCCATGTTGCATTTTGTTGTGGCTCTACTGAACACGTTTCCCTGGCTGACCACGAAGCAGTGCCGGCAGTGGCCGTGTCGTGAGCTGCTTTCCCTTGAGCAGGGTCACAATAGCGCGAGACCCCAACCCCCCAGCCGACCCCAACTCTCCTGCTCGACGACTTTTGATGGCATACAAATGGTTTGATACAAAATCGCCCAGTCTTTTTGTCTACGATGAAATCCCGCGAATTGATGAACATGGTCCATTCAACAAAGTGCGGCTCTGGCGCTGCAAGCTGGATGTCTGGTTTGAAGATGAAGACTCTGCTGCGCACGCTTACCACTCTATTCATTTTCAGATTGACAAAGCGAAAACTTTGAGAGGTGACGAAATATTGGACTTTCTAACCCAAACGGATTGAGTGATTTGAGAGTATGGCACCATTGCATGAGGACCCTTGCCTCTGTATAGATAGTCTAGTGATTCGGTTGACGCCAGCTTCTCCTCAGCAACTTGCCGTCTTCTTGCACTAATCCTGCTGCCAGGTGTAAATATCTTTGCTGCCAGTACCCATAGTCATCTCGTAACTGCATCAGGCCATACGATACCGTACAAATAGGTGCATGTTATTTCCTTGCTCCTCGGTTCCATCGTCCAAGGATTTTGCTTCTGTCGGTCATGTAAAAATGGCTTGCTACTCTACCAAATTAAATGAGCCATACCCGCCCCTTTTAAAAATTTCCCCGTTGTGCCTTTCAATGTGCAACGAAGTATCGTTCGACGTCTCCCTCCATCCTGTGAGTCGAATCGAATTTGCGAAAAAAATCTTGGATCCCGTTTATGACGCGATAAACGGGACTTACGTCAGTGATGGATCCACGGGTAATGAACACCATGATCTTTATCGTCGTGTGTCAAGAATGTTGATGGATCGCGATCTTTGGTAATCTTTGGTTTGGTGGTTGTCAACGCTTTCCTTCTCTTGAGAATCTGTGGCTGATGCATGAGACACTCTCACAATTCAATTGAATTCAATTCGAGTGATACTTTCGTTCATCGAACCAACCAACGGACCATGAAGATCTCCACCTCATCTGTTCTTGCCATCGCGGCGTCCCTCGCCAGTCCGGCCATCGCCTTTACTACTACGCCGATCAATACTAATGTCTGTCGGCGTCCTCTTTCTGCTTTGGCAGCCGTCTCCAAGAGCGACCTCGAAGGAGCTCAAGCGGCTGTGGATGAACTTCTCAACGAAAAGAACTGCGGCCCCATTATGATTCGTTTGGCATGGCATGATTCGGGTACATTTGACAAGGATATCACGGACGAGTGGCCCGCGGCTGGTGGCGCCGTGGGATCGATTCGTTGCAATCCTGAACTGTTGCACGGAGCCAACGCCGGTTTGGACATGGCCGTGGACTTTATGCAAGGCATCAAGGACAAGTTCCCGGATGTGAGTTACGCCGATCTGTATCAAATGGCGTCCGCGCGGGCCGTTGCCTTGGCGGGTGGACCCGATATTGACATGATGTATGGGCGACTCGATTCCGCAGGACCAGACGAATGCAGTCTCGAAGGTCACCTCCCCGATGCCGAGCCTGGTCCGGACGGAAAGTACGGAGGATACGTGGAAGGAAAACCCAGCGTTTCCACGGAGGATAAAACTCCGTACGGACATCTTCGCAAGGTCTTTTACCGCATGGGATTGAACGACGAAGAGATTGTCGCTCTTTCGGGCGCTCATACCATGGGGCGAGCCCATAAGGATAGGAGTGGTTTGGGTGCCGCCAAGACCAAATTCACGGATGGCAAACCAGTCGAACGAGGGGATGGTGAAAAGGTGGACAACTACCGAGTTGGTGGGTCGGCTTGGACCAAGCAATGGCTCACATTTGACAACTCGTACTTTACCACCATTCCCGATGACGATGCCGACCCAGAACTACTCAAATTGTCCACGGACAAAACACTCTTTGACGATGATGGTTTCAAGCCGTTTGCGGAAAAGTTTCGGGATAGCCAAGACGCCTTTTTCGAGTCCTATGCGGAAGCCCACAAGAAGCTTTCCGAGCTGGGTTCCAAGTTTGAACCAAAAGGCGGCATCAAGATCTAAGGATTGCTGTCTAGCTAGTCGAAGCCACGTAGTTAGCGCATCATTTTAAGAAGTTTTAAGCAACTGTAGTTTCAATTTGAGGTCTTCCCTCGATCGCCACATCCAAGACCACAGACGGTTAGTACCAAAAGAAAACAACGCATAGAATTTGAAGGGTGTCCGTCAAGTGACTAGTAGATCATTTACATTGGTGGTGCTGTGCTATGGCACTCCTTGATGGATCCCTGAATTCAGGTCAATGCATTGTACGTACGATCCTGCTTCGATTTGAGTTAGTTGCGTGTGCTTGTTTGCAAGTATATAATAAGTTCAGTTCCCAGCTGCCATTTTATCTGTTGGAGGTGGTACCGTGTACTGGATTGCCCATGCCAACCCCTATGCGTGGATGGAGCCGGCGTTCAAACCAAGCCATCCATCAAGAAGAAGGTCATGACAGCACGACTCAGAACTCTGCATGCTTTGATGGAGTGAACGAATTGATAGTGATGATCGTGATAGTTACAAATCTATACTGTAATCGAGGAAAGCATGCATTGTCCGTGGTGCTCGTGCAGAACCTGGACCAGAAAAGCCAGCCAGGAATGGCTACCAATGACTTTTGGTGTATGGGTTGGGACAAATATAATATATGCTGTATAGTATACGACCGCTCAGGGATTGGAAGAGCGCTGCTACATTGTGATGCATTTGCATTGACTGCATGTACAATCCACTGAATCGCAATCGACTTGTATCTGCAACAAGTCTGGGTTGGAACAAAGACTGCTTGGCACTATTCCGGATAAATTGCTGTCATGCAAGGCCAACTCCGTCAATGATGTCAGCAACCCCAGCTCCGATGGAATATCACCTGATAATAAGGTGGCACTCATGTTCAAGAAAGCCAGGGATGTCAGTAATCCAAGTTCAGTTGGGAGGGTGCCCGACATTTCCCTGTTTTCAGACAAGCCCAAGAGTGTCAATGATGTCATCAAGCCAAACTCGGAAGGGACCATTCCGGACAGCCTGTTAATTGACAATGTCAAAGTTTGAAGCTGGTCCAGCTGAGTCAACTCTAATGGAATTGTTCCAGTTAGAATGTTCGTATCCAGAGTCAGCACTTGAAGTTGGGTCATCTGCTGGATTTCCACTGGTATCGCACTAAGCCAGTTTGTTCCCAACCTCAAGGTGTGTAGTTGGGTCCAGTCACAGAGCTCTGCAGGGATACTTCCTCGGAGAGAGCAACCAGTACAGCCAATCACTTTCAGTGACGGAAATGACTCTGGTGATAAACTTGATGGTAGCAGACGCAATATGGGTATACTTTGGGGATTCCCGGACAAGTCCACTTCTTCCAACTGACCAAGGAATGAGAGCTCTGGCGGGATTGATCCAATGAAAAGAGTTCGGGCTTGGGCTTCCCCCACTGTAATTCGTCTTACATGGCCATCATCGTTGCAATGCACATGTTTTATGGCGAAACTCTCACCCCATTCACACTCCTCTATTTCATAGCTAAGCCATGACCAATATGCTGGACCGTGGAATGCGTAGAAGAAAGTGGCCAAAGCAAATCTCTGTTCCCATTTCCAGCTTTTGTACAGCTGGAGATTGGGATCTTGAGTCAGCCAGGTGAAAGCTTTGTACTGGGGTGATCCCTGATCCAAAGAAATCAATTCCAAGGTGGAATTGGCGGCATTGGGGAGCAGCACCCCAGCATCTAGGTCAACTTTGAGTGTTGGCGCTTGCGTTGGTACTTGTGTCAGCACTGGATCGGAGATTTCACCTTGGGTTGCACTGGTTCCCAGTGATGGATCATCTTCCTGTCCACCTCCACGAACCGCCAGAGGAATGGCAATCGCCAAGATGATCACCAAAACTAGTACCGCAATAGCTGCTCCAATCACAACTGGATTTCGTTTCTTCTCTCCTGCAGGAGCTGTCTCATTCTTATTCTTATTATTGGTAGTATTGAGGAGTTCTGTCACTCCTGGTGCCTCCTGCATCTCTTGGGCACCTCGAGGTGACGGGAAAGCGTCAACAGGAGTACCATTGTTCCTCTTGTTTTGCGCGGACCGTTTGAGGAGTTCTTCCTGCGTGATCCCTTCCTCGGCCGTCTTGATTGTCCGTCCAATGTTGTTGTGGGTTTCCTCGTTGGCAGCAATACCCTTCTCAAGCTGGGTATCACTGAGATCCTCTCGATCCGTGGTTGTCGTTTCTTCAACATTGATTTGGTGATGACCAGCAGAGTTCGTAGACATGGTGGATGATATAGTTGTTTTTGGACACTGTTGGTCTGGCTGAATTGGCTGCGGGTTGCCCGCGAAGACTGATCTGCAAAACACTGTGGTGGAAGATACTATGAGCCTAACCAATTGAGTGAGTTGCACCAGTGAAATTGTGCACTTGCTTGCATTTCGGAGGATTCAGCGCGACTACGGGGTTCCTTGAACCGCGTTAGCCTTCAGACATGGTCCTGGGAGCATGAGGATATGTAGCTGTCCTTGCAAAAATCTTTGGAGCACACACCACAGTGACAAGCAGCTTGACCGGCTTTACTAAAGGGTATCTCGGATTTAAAGAAGAGAACCCCACATCACGTTCAACGACGCAAAAACCGGGACAAGACGCAATGTCAGGAAAGATGGTGGAAGCGTATCTTGAAGAAAAACTCTTCAATTGTCCATGAAGAGAACGTGTTCCTTCAGCACTTCAGCTTCACTTCCTGGACTCAAAACCTCAATCCTCTCTTCTGTATGTTTCAAAGTCCAACCAAAGCTCTCATTTTTTAAAACGTTATCAGACTTGATACGATAGAGCAGCCATGTCCACTGAAATCCCAACCGACGTGAGGGCTCCTGAGTTTAGGTTCTCCGTGGTAGACGTCCATCATGGCTACGATGGTGAGGAGAATCCCGAACTGGTAGCCAAGACAGCCGCCTGGAAGCCTGTTACTCCTAGTAGTACCACGGGTTCCTGCATCAGTCCTCCACGCGTTCCAGAAAGCTGCAATGCGACCACTGCATGCCAGTGTAGTGCTCTTGTAGATGATGATACTACTACTACATCTTTTACGAACCATTCGGACGACAAACTGTACGGCCGACGGGACGAAGAGGCGCGTTTGCAAGCTGCCTATCAACGATGCCAATCGGCACTAAGACGACCCGAACTGACACTGATTACGGGAGAATCCGGCAAGGGCAAGAGTTGTTTGGCGCACTCCTTGCGGCGACGGGTGGAAGCGGATCACGGATTCTTTGTCTCGGGGAAATTTGATCAATTGGAACGTCCGGAAACGTGCTATCCACTCGTCCGCGCCGCCAGCAGTCTCATTGAACAGCTCTTGGAACGAATGACAGACACTACTACTTGTACGACAGCATGTAGTTGTAATCAACAGCAGCAGCACTATCAAGCCATTCATCAAGCCTTGCAAGAGATTGCCGACACGGAACCTTTGTTGGTCGACATGATTCCATCATTGCGGCAGTTCCAGACCACCACAAACAGTACCACCACTACTACCGGTACGCACCATACTACCAGCAGTGCCGATGCCCCCAAGATTGTGGCATTGGCGTTTGGTCGCTTCCTCCAGGCCGTGTGTAGTCCCGACGTACCACTCGTCTTTTTTCTCGATGACATTCAATGGGCCAAGGCAGCACCACTGGAAATTGTCCGGGAACTCTTGATGATGAATACTACTAATGAGAATGACAATGACAACACGACAACAACGCCAGGATTCATGCTGCTGGCATCGTGTCGGGGCAACGAAGTTCCCATGGAACATCACTTGTCGGTATTGCTACGAGAATTGGAAACCACCAGTGTCGCCATTACGGACATTCGACTCGACAATCTCACATTGGAAGCGGTCAATGAAATGGTACGGGATCAATTGACAGAACTGGTCGTGTCCACTGAGACGCCCGTGGGGACCACGCGACGGCTCGCCCAACATATTTGGGAACAGACACGGGGAAATACCTTTTTTACCATTCAACTCATTCAACGAATACGACACGATCACCAGCAACAAACAACTGTTTCTGTTTCTTCTCATGATGGTGCCATGATCACCAACAACATGCAGCAATACCACTATGAATCGGCATTGGATCTCGTCACGGAAACGATTCTACGGCTCCCCAAGGACGTTCAAGAGGTGCTTACGATTGCCTCGTGTTTTGGAGCCGAGTTTCATTCCGTACTACTCGAAGAGTTGGTCGATTTTGACATTCGGGAAGCGCTCGAGATTGCACAAGACGAACAAATCATTGCCAAAACAACTACTACTCCTACTACTGCAACAACCAGTACTAGCAGCAGTGATTCCACCGACACTACCAACCAAAACACGGCAACCTACCGATTCCTACACGATCAGTTCCAGTTTGCGGCATTCTCACTGATTCCGCAACAGGAACAAGCCTCCATGCACTTGAAGATTGGACGCAAATTGTGGAATGAACTGAACGAAGCCGAACTGGCATCCTTTGGATTTGCCGTGGTACGGCAGATTCGACTCGGAAGTCATCTTCTCGTCGATGAAGGGGAACGTTATCGCGTGGCCGATTTGTTGCTCCAAGCGGGAGTTCATGCCACCCACACGTCGGCATTTGACGAAGCGGCCTCTCATTACGAATTGGGAATTTCGTTGCTGCCAACGCGTCGTCGTTGTTGCTGGCGCGATGAGTACCATATCACGCTGCAATTGTACCTCCGCGCGGCCGAAGTCTCGTACTGTATTGGGAATCACGAACGAGTCGAAGCTCTCACGGACATGGTCCTTACCAATGCCAGAAACAACAAAGACAAGATCGGGGCGTCCATTACTCGTATGGAGTCACTCGCAGCTACCAACCAAACCAAGCGGGCATTGGAGTTGGCTCTGTCGGTGTTGGCCGAGAATGGATACCGCCTTCCCAAAAAGGGCAGTATTGCCAACATTCTCTTTCAACTCTTCAAAACCAAGAGAAAGCTGAAGCGATACTCCAACGAACAGATTCGCAGAATGCCCACCATTGACGATGGGGTAACCTTGGATATGATGAAGATATTCAATCTTGCCGTGGTGTATTCCATCTACTGCGAGCCATTGTTCTTTCCCATTGTCACCATGGTCGCGGTCCAAACGGCACTCAAAAAGGGGCTTTGTGGTGCATCGGCGGTCCCGTATGCAGCAATCTCCATGCTCTTGTGCTGCCATTTTGGGGAAGTCGACCTGGGGTTTCGACTGGGAAGGCTGAGCTTGGACATTGTGGATGATACCAAAGCATTGCACTGGCAGCCCAGAGTGCTGGTATTGGTGCACACTTTTGTATTCTTGACCAGGGACTCCCTGACAGACCAGCTGGCTCCACTGTTGACTGGACACCGACGAGCGCTCGCCAATGGGGACACCGAAATGGCCATGACGGCGGCACAATTGCGCTCAGGGATTGGCTTGCATGCCTCGATTCCATTAAAGCCATTGATTTCGGACATGAAACTGTACTTGAGAATGATGCAAGCCCACGGCCAAACACTATCCATGCAATTCCTCCTTCCGATGCTACAAAGTGCTCTAAATCTGGTACACGGGTCGGAAAATCCTGCCATGCTCACGGGTGATATCATGGATGAGGAGCATGTGTACGTCAAGTATTCCAAGCTCATGATGGCGTGTCTCTTTGGTGACTTTGCATTGGCCGAGACATTTGCTCGAGATGTCCCGAATTGGCCGATCGTTGGCTTTACTGTCTTTATTCGTGTTGGAATCTTTCTCTATGCAGGCGTGTCCCTGGCTGCTGCATCTTCGGGCAGCAAGAGAGCACGGCTTCGTTCTGTACGGCAGTATCTTGGCAAGCTCAAAAGCCTGGTTCGTTCCTCCGAGGGACGATATGATCCTCAAGTCTGTATCTTGGAAGCCGAAGCACTCGGGGTCCGTGGCGAGACCGATGCAGCCGTGGCCAAGTTTCAGTTGGCCATCGACCTGGCAAGAGATCAAAACTTGCATGCTATCGTAGGTCTTGCCTGCGAAAGGGCATGGACTATCCTCCAACAGGCTGGTAGCTGTGTCGAGGCTAGCAAGTACCTCGTTCAGGCAACCGAGGCGTTCCAGAAATGGGGCGCTGATGCCAAGGTGAAACAGTTGGCCCCGTCGTTGCCTCCGGAGTGTCGACAATCTTTCATCGAGCATCTGGATGTGAGCCAATAATAGAAATAGCAGCTAATGCCTGTTCGGCAAAGTTTTATCATGAGAGGCATAAACTGCCTACATGTAGCAATTCCGAAATGTAGCAGTGTCTGCATGGTGCCATCCCCTGAAGTCTTTGACAACTGCGTCTCTTGCTCGTGGCTTCCAAAGTAAGCAATTCTTTCCGATGGACGATCCTCGCCTCTCGTCCGGTAGTACCGAGGCATGACTGTAGTAGCGGGCCGGGGCTGTCTGCTGGGTGACTGCGCCTACGACACGCTCTGGATCTACATGTACTTGTACCTGGCAATGTTCGGGTCCACTGCGCATCCCCGCTCCAGGGAGTGCAGCATTGTTGGCCATCCAGCACCCCAAAGCCCCACAGCAGCTCCCACAGCTAATGAGCGGTCCCTTGAGACGGCAGGACGTACAGGTACAGGTACAGTACATCATGTAATAAGATGATCAGAGTTTTGACAGGCACAAACAACTATGATGCTGAATACTGAGAGTAGACTACTAGCTAGTACCGGCTTCAGTCGACTGCGTTCATCGTGGCTCCGAAAGCGGGCATCATGACATTGTAATAAGATGATCAGAGTTTTGACAGGGAGTTTTGACAGGCACAAGCTATGATACTGAGAGTACTACTAGCTAGCTAGCTAGTACCGGCTTCAGTCGACTGCGTTCTCGTGGCTCCGAAAGCGGGCTTGATCGTTCTGTCAAAATGGAGTACCAGGTACTGGTACTCGTAGGACACAGTGTACTAGAGTACCGGTACACCCGCACAACGGTCAATTATTAGACAAGAACTGGCACTGGATCATTCCAGTTTACTCCCAGTCCCGAAGCAGCTGGCATGCCAACTCGTCGAAAATGCTTCTGTAGAGTTTCCCATGGTAGCTTTTGGGTAGTGAAAGTCAGAACATTGCAGAATGCCTTGGAGAAGAGAATGCGATTTCTTCAGAGGCCTGCCAGTCACCACTGTTTTAATCTTCTTGCCGCTGACAGCTCCGCTGACCAACAAGCTACTACTGTAGTAGTAGTAGTAGTGCTACCTCAAAATAAGCCACAGACCTATCCAAGCTGCTGAACGCCAAGATTATCCTTTTGCTACAGTTGGTAAAGTAAGTATCATGGAAGACGGTCTCGAGAACCACAGCCACAACGAAGGAGTTGGTGGTGAACATGGGGACGCACTGGTAGCCCATGGAGACCAAGATTATGTTGCACCAGAAGAAGGAGAAGAATCAGAGGTGGCTGACTTTCATGAACGAATATTGAGTTGTGATGACCCTCGTCGGATGGAGATCTCCCCAGAAGAACGAGAGTGGGCTGAAGACATCAAGGCAGTGATTGAGGGAATTGAAGAGATTGACAATTTATCGGACTTTATGTATGCTCAATTGGCCATCATCCATGGAGAAGATATCAGTACTGCCGTGGAGATTGCCAATAGATTACAGGAGGCAAGACAGGAGTATGATATAGAGGAGACCTTTGAAGATGGGGTTGTCAAGCTTCAAAAATTGATAAGATTGTGCCCAAAGGCTAACATGTACTTTGGATACAACAATGAAAGAGGATGCTACACCCAGGTCTTTGACTATGGAAAACTTGACATGGATTTGATGAAGCAGGAGAAGAATGCACATGCCACCATCGCAGCCAGCTATTACCAGTATCATTGCTTTGCTCCTGACTTCGAAGCAGTGCGAAAAGGAACAATCTGGATTGCAGAGTGCCAGGGGTATCAGTGGATGCCAAAAAGGGGAGGTCTCAGGTATTCAGAAAGATTCTGGAACGACTTGGGCAGCGCTTATCCGCAGACAATCCAAGAATACAACTGTTTTCACACTCCTGCCATGTTCAATGTGATGAAATCAATGTTGCGACCCTTTATTGCGCAGGACATTTATTCCAAGATCAATTTGGGGTGCAGCTTTCCTGGAGGTAGGCTCGATTCAGTCTACATGATTCCCACTCCTCAAATTGCTGAGCAACGTGTCCTCTCAAAATGGCATGAGGCACTTGAATTGCGATTCGCCAATGAACAGTCTTTTGCTTTATAGATATTCCATGTATGGGATGGGTAGCAACTAGAGTGGTTCGCAGCCACCCAACCGACGTCTCACAAGGCTCTTCTGTGGGATCATGGATAGGAAGCTCCAAGCCTGCAGTTGTTTTGACATCATCTCATACGAGAAATTCGTTGGCACATTTTAGTACCTTTTCTTTTGAGATAGCTAGCTAGCTAGGCCAAAGATCAAATCGTACCGGTAGCCAATTGCACCGGTAGGATCTCAGCCATGGTAGACAAGATATGTATTCGAGGATCATGGTTGGCTGCCGGTTTCATGGACAGCAAGTGCCTTGATTCGTTTCAGTCGCTCTACATGATCGACTCCCAACTCCCCAAATTGCTGTGCAATGCAACGTGCCCTCTCAAAGTGGCAGGATATGAAAATTAAATGAGCGCTCAGTCACTTTGTAGGCGAGAATTAGGAACAAAAGTGTTTTACCTCTCGAATGGCATAATCCTCGTTCACCGTAGCAAGTTTTGCAGCCCAAAGTTTGTCTCCAATAAGCAGTCTGCGTGCAAAATGCGCTGTATGGTACTAGTGTATGTGATCACCCACAAAGTACGCAAAAAGGTCAAAAAGAATATGACTATACAGTGTAGTTAGTTAGTTCGTGCGTGGGTTAGTTTATTAGTGCTGACTATTTCCCAAAAAGACGGCCGATTGGAGAATCGTTTCGTCGGGCTTGGTGGGCCGTGGTGGTTTCGTTTTGTCGGGCATGGTGGGCCGTTTCGATTCTTCTATTCTAATTGCCGTACCGGTAGGCTTTGAGGTAGTGGTTGTTTCCCCCTTTTCCATGTCATCATCATCATCGGCAAAGGACTCTTCTGCAACCGACAGGGTTTCGACCGAAATGGGACGCGTGGCACTTTCTTCCCCTTGTTGCTGTTCGGGTCCCTTGGTTTTGGACGCTGTACAACAACAGCAAGACAACCGTTGCTGGATCCACGGCCAATAGCGTGGTCGTAGGTATACCACTGCATTCCACCATCCTTGGAGTGGCATGAGAATGGACGGAATGACAAACAGGGCAGGGTTTGCCTTTCTCTGTGCCCACATGGAGACTCCCACAATCCATGGAATCTCGACGGCCAAATATGCCCAGACGTAGAGAATGCCTTGAAACGCGACTTGTTGGGAGTGTCGACGAGATTCTTTGGTAGAAACGGAAATGCGGTACCGATCATTGGCCAATTCTTGTCGGAGGACGTAGAGGTAGAGTAGAAACATGCACCCCACGACAATGGGACCACATACAATGCTTGGGAGGACCATGAGTATCCATCCTCGTGGTGTGTTTGCGTTGTTTTGCCAAAAGACATCGACAATCTTGCCACCTCGTTCACACTTGACCAATTCATTGTCACAAAACTGTGGATATGCTTGCATCATGCCACACGTTCTTCCGTTATAGTTGCCTCCTTCCCATGCCAGACTCAGGATACACCAGGGCAAGACAATGACGAGGGGAATGAGATACAAGAACCACGCCACTCTTCTTGCTGCAAGCTTGGTTTCATTCCAGCCGTAGCAAATCATGAGAACGTAGCAAATGGCCAAACTGGCATTGTAATACGTCGATGCGTAAAATCCCAATCCCGAAAAAAAGGCCGCTGTGCTGCACGCCGCCACACTTCCCGCAGCGCCGTAGGCGGATCCTACGGGTGCCGGCCACGATCCTAAAAAGGGCGACCAGAACGAGTACAGCACGTCACAGACGCTCAGCAGGACCACGATGCGATTGGCCACTTTGACGCGTTCGTGCGGTTGCCGTACAATGTCTACAATCACGTAGAGACTGCAGAGGCACGACAGCAAGGCGGGCCATCGTTGGATCTGCTGTTCCAGAATCAACTGCTCGTCTGTATTCCAACGGTCAATCACGGCGTCGGTATACGCACGAGTGTAAAAGTCCGACAAGGCGTTGTTGTTGCTTGTGTCGGTGGAATCACTGCTCATATTCTCGTTTCGATTCTCGAGTGAGTGAATGAATGAATGAATGGATGATCTGAAAATACTGTTCAGGGGTCAAGGGCGAACTAACTGATGAAAGAGAAACTGCCTTTGCTTGGTTCAGGATGGAATGGTTTCGCCAGCCTAACTTACTGGAAGCAGATACTATTGTAAGAGCTATTGTAAGGTACCGATAGTGGTGTAGTAGTCTAGTAGAGTGGTTGGATAGAGGACATCAAAATCGAGTTGTGATCTTGGAAGCTTGGAATAAGGAGGCAACAAAATTGCTCGAGCAATCAAAACGAGCTCAAAAAGTAAACATCTGATTCCGGTTTCACGAAGTTCAATTGTGTCTCTTAAATGGAGTTTGGCCATTGAAAGGAAAGAGTCATTGATACTAAATCGTACTCTACCGGTTCTCCCAAAGCACGACTTCAAAAGGGAGCGGTACTTAAGTGATTGCTAAGAAGGAGTACTGAACCTTTAGGTAAGAAGAGCGGTACGGTACCATCGACGGACATTCGAAGTCATAAAAATGACTGTGAAAGGTTCTCTCACAAAACTGGAAGTGTTTTAGCTTTTGGCAGGCTACCGGTACATGCTGCTGCATGCTGCTGCAAATGCAAGGTTTGGGCCAGCCGCTACTACTAGCTACATGTAGTACTTGTTTTTCCAGGAAGGCCCGGTCACGCCACTGCTGGTCGCCAAAAATTAGCATAAAGTCGCACACAGCATCAAAGTCGCATCAAAAGTCGTATTTAAAGTCGCATGCAAGTCGCATGAAGTCGTGTGCGACTTTCTCGCACGACTTTCAAAGTCGCGCAAGATTTCTATTAACAAGGTGACAGAGTCGCGTAGGATCGCTGAAAGTCGTTTGGAAAGTCGTGCAAAAATCGCATTCGACTCATACACGACTCGCACGCGACTTTGTGAACGACTTTCAGCGATCCTACGCGACTTTGACCGATCCGGGACTTTAAGTCGCATGACGGGGCCTTCCAGTACATGTACCTGTAGCTTGGAGCTTGGAGGGAAACATGGAGAATCAATCGACCCCCAAAATGGAGCATACAGCACCCATCACCCTTCAGACACCACCATACTTCCCAATGCATTGTCTTCTTCCACCTGCATGTATCCATCCCTACGGTAATATCATACCGGTATGTTCAAGAATCCCCACAACTCAAAGGCAACACCTGGCTGTCTCTTGATCCCAACCTAGCAACCTATGAAATTTGGCAAAAGGAACAGAGATTCCATTGGCCACCTTCTTCCATGCTTATAATGGTCCAAGCAAGTGCAACATGGAGTCTCCGGGAAGTACACGCACAGCCAGAATGAATGGTTTGGCTACAAACCAATGAATGCGAATGGGGTGCATCCTACTCAGGTGAGTTCTTCGTATGCATGCTTCATACAATCATTTGAGTTGTAATGAAACAGCTACCACCCGAAATTGCCTTCCTGATGAGTTTGACCGACCAACTTGGTGGTAATATGGCAGGAGTGAAACAGCCAGCTGTCCTGAGTGTACACTGCGCCCATTTTTTGGCTGGTTTCCTCCACAACGAGCTCCGGCCAAAGTGGAGCAGCATTGTAGCGACTGAGTCGCTCGATGCATGCATAAGCATCCACATACACTACTGGCTGCCTTCAACAATTAGGCTATTGATGCAGGCCAGTCATCTCCAGTGTAGCTCTTGCTTTCTTCTCGCTCCGAGTCGAGTCCATATTTGTGCCGACAGAAGCACATGAGCCGATGGATGGCTGCGGTCTTCAACCACTGACTGACTTTGCAATTGCGGTTTGAGGTTTTAAAAAGAGGCAGTACGTCTCCACAGTTGAGGCATTAGTTCTTGAGAGCGCAGGAATGCAAAAGAATGTTGCTTGCTTCGGCTCTCGCCTGGCACCTGTCTGTACGATGTTTGCTTGCCCAGCAATCAGCCAAGCAATCCAGCTGATGGCTCGCTCCATTGACGCACAGCTTGCCTGTCAGGGTTCTTTGTTCCTCTTGCTGGTCTCAGTGCAATCTATATATATATATATATAGTAAGCAACCGTGCAACCTTGAAGGCTGAATGCTGCTTGGTTCTGACAAAATCAAGTTGGCTGGTGGTGTTTGCTGTAGACACAGAGGGAGGAGGACAAGGTGGCTGCTATCTGAGCTTCGCTCCATTTGGAAGCTTCATAGACGAAGCTGTACAGGAGACAAGCAGCCAATAGCTTACCTGATAGTATTGGGACCTTGAAAGAGATGAACTTCAAACATTCCCAATTGTCAGGCATTGCCACTTGCTTTTTCCAATGGAGGTTGATTGTGAGGCAAATCTGGTTCGCTCCCATGGAATGAACATGTAGTTCTTTAGAACTGAGTATTCATGTCTGTAGCTTTCTTGATCATGATTATGGGGAAAGGTGCCCTGAACATCAACAAATGCAGGCGAATTTATTTATGCGCTTGAGTGCATGCATGAGCAGCCAATGCAAAAACATCGCCATATCCCAACCTGTACAGGCTGGTTCGTTGCCCCAGCTGCTGGCTGTCAGGACAGCTGACGAGCAACTCGCAGCTCGACCAAAGCAGCCCACGGACGTTCCAACCTTTCTCCAGCTTGCATCACATATATATCACAATGTCATGTGCTACTGGTAGACTATATATATATATATATATATGTACTGCCTTTAACAATGCCGCCATCTACAGTGTAGCTCTTGCTTTCTTCTTCGGGTTGAAGCTTCTCGGAGCCTATGTGCTGCGGTCTGGAACCACTGACTGATTTTGGTGCTTTGAGGTTGAAGCAAGAGGCAGTAGTTCAGTCAACGCAAAGAAGCAATCCAACCATCCAACCTTGTTTGCTTCTTGCAAAGAAGCCATGCCTTATATGAATGCTTCCTTGCCCAATGAATCAACTGGCTGGTGGCTCGCTCCATTGACAGCTTGCCTGATAGAGTTCCTTGTTCCTCCTCCTCTTGTTGGTCTAGTAGTCTAGCTAAGTTAATCCAGACACAGTCCAGCAGACGGGGGACGCACACGGCCAGCCATCATCAGATTGAAGATTCTATCTTTGATCTCCTGTCTGAAGCTTCAGAAACGATGCGGCACGAGACAACTACATGTACCTAGCTAGCGCTAGCTTGCTAGAGCTTTTTATAGACTGTCTCTCGGTGAGAGAAGCTGCCGCCAGCTAAAGTTGGAAGTTGGAAGGGGTTCAGTGAGCCTTATTGGTGGAGGAGCAAACTCAAAAGAAGACGGAGGAGCCGTGAAATTGATTTGGTGGGAAGGGATAGACAACACTGGCGAAATAGATATTTATTGGGTCACTTTCCGAAGAATACCGAACGAACACCTTGGGGGCTATTATCCGTGGAATCTTTGTTCCACCAGCTGCTTGGTGTCTCGAAGGTAGGGTCTTAGAGTCAGACTTGACTGCCTTACAAACTCTAATAAAAGAATTAATTAAAGTGAAGAATGCTCAGAGTTCTTTTAGTAATGATGAAACAGCCCCCCCTGTAACCTAGAACTAAACAAGAACATCTAATTCCCTCCCGTTAGAGACGCATGACCTGACGTGGTCTAAGTCATTGTTTTCGTACAGCCCCAAGAAAGGAAGCGGAAGACGGTTTTGGTTACGTGGTCGGTCATACCTTATTGCCACGAAACCACGCAATCGACCACCAGCCACGCAACCACGAGTACTTGAGCTGAGGAAGAAGTTTGGGAAGCACAGCAACCAATTGCACAGCTCTATGCCACTGTTGAAAAAGAAGTTCAGGAAGCACGGCCTGTCAGGCCTCCACAAGAGACACAATACAACCCAAGGTTGTTCTATCAAAACACAAAACGAAGAGCACACACTACACAAGCAATCCATCAAGCCAAGCCAAGCCAAGTCAAGTCCAAGCGATACAATACAATACAATACAATAGCATACAGTACTATAGACCATGACAGGAAGAAGCAGCAGCAGTCGTCGCCTGAAGAGTACCGATGAGACGCAGAGCTCGTCGTCGAAGCGCCAAGGCCGCAGCAGCAGCAATCGTCGACTCGTACGTGCTAGTACAACAGAACCGACGACGAGACGCACTAGAGGATCGTCCTCCACTCGGTTGCCCACCAATAAGGACAGCAATAAAGAAGATGAACTGAGACAACTCCAGTTCCAGTCGTACGACTTTATCCGCAAGAGCTCGCGTCCGTTCGATCAATACTACGACTTGGGCACCATGCTGGGAGAGGGTGCCTTTGGTGCCGTTTATGCCTGCGAGCACAAGGCTACCGGCAACACACGCGCCGTCAAGATATTACCCAAGTCGGCTGCAGACGAAGAAGCCAATAAACTCGCCTACCAAGAATTCAAAATGATGGCAAAACTGGATCATCCCGTAAGTGTGTTGCTACCCACCGGTATCATGTATACCCCCCATCATGTTGATGTTATCTTATCTTATGTTATCTTACCCTCCTTTTTCTTTGTTATACCCCGTCTTATCTATCTTATCTTATTGTTTTGACGTAGAACATTGCCAAGACGTACGAACTGTTCGAAGACAACAACTGCTTCTACATTGTCACCGACTTGTACAAAGGAGGAGATCTATTTGATGTATTGGAGCAAAAGGGAACCCTTTCCGAATACGAAACTGCAATGGTGGTACGTACCTATCTGAAGGATCGAGGCAGAGATTCAACCAAATGATCCAACGAAGGGTATCTCACGTTTCTTCTACATTATTATTATCTATGTGATAGGCCAACAGCCTCATTATGAGTGTGGGTTATTGTCACGAAAACAAACTCGTCCATCGGGATTTAAAACCCGAGAATGTCTTGCTTGAAATTGACGGAGATTTTGACTATGCCGGTGCCAAAGTGATTGACTTTGGGCTGGCGTGTTTTGAAAAGAAACGAGGCGACAAGTTTACCGAATCGCTCGGATCACTCGAGTACGTGGCACCGCAAGTATTGGCGTCGTGTTATGGCCGCGGCGCCGATGTCTGGAGTATCGGTGTCATATTGTATGTCTTGTTGGCCGGACATCCACCGTTTAATGGACATACCGATGCCGAAATTATTGCCGCCATTCAAAAGGGTGATTTCGTCTTTAGCAGTCCCAAATGGAACAATGTGTCCAAGGATGCCAAAGATTTTATCGAGAATTTGTTGACATTTGACGAAGAGGCACGACCGTCGGCCGCCACCGCACTCACACACAAGTGGCTCGTCAAGATGCGCAAACAGCAACGCAAAGAACACGATGGAAAAATGTGGCAGACGTTGACGGAAGCACTCAATGCGCTCGAAGGATTCCGCAGTCGACATTCCAAATTCAAGCAAGCCGTGGCTGTCTTGGTCGCAACGCAGTTCTTGACCAAGGAAGATCGAGAATTGATTGATCCCCTCTTTCGAGAACTCGATGGTGGTTGTCGGGGCAGTATCACCAAGGAAGATCTGCTCAATGCTTTCTGGTGTACCGACTTTTTAAATGATTCTCGAACCGAGGAGGATATGAAAAAAATCATGAAAGAAGTCAACTTTTCCAAAACGGGTTCGATTACGTACGCCGAATTCGCGGCCGTCGTCTTGCTCGAAACGGGACGCGTTGACAAGGACCGACTCAAAGTCGTCTTTGATTACTTTGATACGTCCAATAAGGGCGACATTGATTGGAGGAGCCTCGCCAAGGTATTGTTCCCCGATCGTGGCAGTCGGTACGCCGAAACGGTGGGCAAAAAGATGATTGCCGAAGTTACGGATCAACGGTACATTTCCTTTTCGGCGTTCAAAAGGCTCATGCTGCCGTCGTCGTCGTCGTCGCGGTCCAGCAGAGAGAGTGACAACCGACAAAGCAACAAGGACCCCATAAAGGGAGATTTCCGAGCTTCCTCTTCGGCTGCCGTTGTGGCGTAGAGGATCGATCGATCGAGACCGCGTGTCCATTGTACATTTTCATCTTCTAGTCTAGCTCAAGACTAAATCAAATAGATTGCTTGCTACTTTTACAAATGACGACTCGACTCGGCCTTAGTAGCAGCAGGAGGCACATGATCGAAGAGAACTAACCGGAGTAACTATAATTTGGTCTGGACATTTCTTGTCCGCGAATGGAAAGACGAGCCCACTTTCTTGCAACCAATCTATCTTAATCTGACTTTGAAACTACTAGCAAGCTAAGAGCCTACTGGGAGGGGGGAACGAGTCACTCTTTGCTAAAATTGTATGAAACTAGAACTGTCTAATTTTGATTTAATTAATACCTTACCTGCCATCAAACATTTTAGTGTCCTTCATTGTGAGATCCCGGGCTCGCCTAGCCACTGGAACAGCAGGACATGTGCATTAGTCCGGTGGACAACCATTTTCACGAGCCCACAATAGAACTTCCAAATGCCCATTTTCAGCAGCATAGTCACATGTCCTTGCATCCCATGGACAACCATGTGCGCGAGCCCACTTTAGAATTTCCAAATGCCCATTTTGAGCAGAATAAGCACATGTACGTTCATTCCATTGACAACCATTTCGGCGAGCCCATTTTAGAATTTCCAAATGCCCATTTTCAGCAGCATAGTCACATGTCCTTGCATCCCATGGACAACCAGTTTCACAAGCCCAACGTAGAGTTTCAAAATGCATTTTCAGCAGCAGATGCACTTGTCCTTGCATTCCATGGACAACCATTTTCACGAGCCCACTTCAGAATTTCCAAATGTCCATTTTTAGCAGCACGGGCACATGTCCAAGGATTCCAAGGACAATCATTTTCACGAGCCCACTTCAAAACTTCCAAATGGCCACCTGCAGCAGCAGGGGCGCATGTATCTGTATTCTATGGACAACCGTTCTCTCTTAACCATTGGAGCATTTCCGGCTGGTCATTTTCAGCAGCTGCAGCATACGACTGTATGGCCGGTTATCCCATGGAAATCCTCTTCGTCGTGCCCACTGCATGACCATAATATTTCCAATTTTTGCAATTGCAATGCAAACTGCATCACAATCAGGTCCTTTGCTGGTGGAATTGTCCTTGAGCCAGTATTCTGCACGGGGCTGGCTACAGAATATTTCGCTGTAGAGTGTGTCTGTTGGGGAGCCACTGGGAGTATGCCATCTGAATGCATTGGGGATATCTTTAACCTATGATGGATTATTCTTGAGTTCAATTTTGCAGTACAGTACTCTTTGTACAGTTGATTCATCATTCATCTTTTGGTTGACAGCTCCCAGAAAAGCGTACTGTCCAACGCCAACCAATGGTAGAATGTCTTGAATCCAAATCTCATTCTTGTCCAACAGAAGAGGAGACTCGGGCAGTACCTTCATCAGTATTAGTCTTAGAGCACCGACTACCCATACGGCAGACGTGGTGGCTGAAGTTGTGGCCAATGCTTGTAAAATTCACATCACCTTTGGCGGGTGAATGAGCTAATAAGTCTGCTGCTAAGCTGCTAAATGGTCCAACCCCTTTTAACCCCGGACGGTGTTGCTGTTCGGCCCGTGGGTTGGTTGGTACCTATGGTGCTGGTACAACCGGTGCGTATCCGGATATGCTAATCCACAGCACTACCAGTATGGCAGTAAGGTAGAACAGGTACGTTCATGCTAATCAGCTGCACTACCAGTACCCGTATGGCAGTATGGTAGAATGGGTATGTTCATGCTAATCCGCAGCACTACCAGTCATGTTCCAGCATCTCAAATGAGCGCTAGGGCACTGGGATGGTGGTGGCGCCCTCCACCTTTACGGCTAGTTGGTCCCTGCCCTCTCCCTCCCCTGGCTCTGTTTACCCTTGGTCCTCCCCAGCCTGTTGTCTCCTCCTGTTGGCCTGCTCATTGGTTTTTATTCCCTGCTCCCCACTTGCTCACGCAGATTCATCCCCCCCACAGTAGTCCATCTGAACACTGCACCACTATTCCCAGATGATAGCTCTGATACGCTAATGGTTTTACCTGATTTTTGAACAAACAGGTTTTCATATTTACAAGCCGGGGTTTCTGTTCTTAAATCTTAATTCTTGAATCCCAAATCAACAGTACCATCAAGAATTCTTCGGAACCATCAAGAATTAAATGGCACGATCAAGGGTTCTTTGGAACTAACAACAAATCAATGCTACCATCAACAATTCAATGGTACCATCAGAGAGACAGCGAGACCATTACTAATTGGTCCCCCCATTTCCAAATCTTTTCACATGATTAGTGAATATTTGCCACATGATTACCGAATGAAAGTATCCTAACTGACGTTAATTGTAATAGACCCACAATGGTTAGACTTAATCCCTAATCTTTGGGCCTATTAAGTTATGAGACTACCTATTTTGGAATGATAGTGATGAATGCAGAATAGCAATGCGGATTCGCCAATGGTAGACAAGAAAGTACAAAGGGTCTATCTAATAGCTAATAAGTCACATTGTAACACATTTTTTCTAACGATTAGTTGTTGTATGTACCACCTGGACCAATTTTCTAGTTAAACTTCACAGCGTTGCTTGATCAAGTCCATGGCAATGGCACACTCAGAAAAACCAGCACCAACTTGATTCTCGTTATCACCATCTGTGGTTGTAAATATGAATAGGATAGGGGCAACATCCTTTTTTCTTGCTCTGCAATGAATCACTCCTTGTTGCTCAACAGTTTGAAGAGCACATGGTTTGTTTGGATTCCTGTCCCTCCTATGACCCCATCTCTGTCACTGGATGTGGATTCCAAGGAGTTACTGCTGGCAGCACCTGCTAGGAAAGAGATTTATCGCATGGTGAGTTCAGGCCATCAAATAACAAATTCAGTTTTCTTGGTAGCTTACTCGATATTATTCAGATCTCATCAATCCGGTTAGCATGCTCATCCCGACTCGATGTTATTAAAGCCTTGTAGACTCTTTCCTTGTTGCTCAACAGTTGTTTTCTTGCTCCTGTCTCTGTCAATGGGTGTGAATTCCGAGGAGCTACTGCTAGCAGCACCTGCTAATAATGAGAAAGAGATTTGTCACATGGTGAGTTCAGGCCATCAAATAGTAATCAGTTCAGTTAACTCAGAAGCTTACTCACGTCGCTTGTACTAGCTCTACTTGTATTCTTCAAAATCACTATTTGATCAGCAACAAAATGCACGATAAGACAAAACAGCTTGTTAGTAGTCCACCCCACAGTTTCACCGATGTTAGACCAGTCGTCAATAATCAGCATGCTTACTTTTCTGCCATCGTCGCAACTTACTTTGCTTGTTTTCTGGTGCAAAACAATGAGGCAAGCATCATACTCGGTAAAATAGACAGTAAGTCTCTCCCAATGCCCCCAGTTCTTTTTTAGTGCGCCTGCCTGCTGCTTTTTTATCTAAACATCCATGTTTTTAAATGGATCGCTAGATGGATCTTACAGTTTTTTAGAAGGCATGCGTGCTGGATCGTCTTTGTTATGTTTGCTCTTGCAGTTACAGGGAGGTCTGACGTGCTAGATAGACTCTATGCATCATTTGTCTCATATTTTGGCAAATAAACTGATCTAGAAGAATTTTCGTCAGCCACTTGCTCCTGCTCATTTTATGTCGATATGTTTCAATGCTTTTACTGTGATTATTCATTCAAAGTTTACCTTTCTCTAGATGCACATACATGTAAAACCCTACCACCAGATCAATAGTGAATTTATACACAGGCTGCAGTGCTCAGAACCAGGGGGGTATGTTAGGAATGCCACAAGAACTAGCACACATCCAGCACCAGATGTCGGACAAACTATATAGACAAGGGGCTATGAATATTTTCAATGGACCCCAAGAAGAACCAAACCGGAGTAACAATAATATAAACAGTACAGATGACCACGAAGTTTCATTAGTAGGGGCGAATGGGTCAGATCCATAATAAGAGTAGTAGTAGACGGCGCAACTGACAATGTCCAACAATGAGGATGCTGCAATTGCCACGTTTCCCAGTGAGGATAATGAGAGTGAGATTGTAGTATCATAGATTTAACAACTACGTACTGATAATGCAAGCTGGCTATCTGGATGCTCTCGAAGTATGCTTCCTCTTCTGCTTCATCGGATGAATTGATTGCTGGAACGTTGTTGTTGTTGTCAGCGGTAGTATTTGTGGTTTTGAGGGTGCTTGTGAATGGGTTGGGTTCATCCAATAGACTGTCACACCCCCAGCTTCGATACTGGCAATTTAGCAGTTAGCTGTTTGGCAGAGGGGGATGTCATTGTTGGTAGGCATTTGACGATTGACAATGCGTTTGGCCTGTAGCTAGCTTTACTAGTTGAGCTTGGTAGTACGTTACAGGTGCAGCTTTTTTCTGTACTCTTCTTCTCTTTGGTCATCTCTGCCTGGCTGGTCCTTCCTCACGGTACAGGCATTGAACTCTACTTGGTTGCCCAAAAGCATGGCAGAGCATGGTTGCAGGTAGCATTGATGGCAGGCAGTACTGTGCGTCAGTTGCTTTGTGGCCGCTTCTGTTGTTTCTTCCATGCTGGCTGTTTGGTAGTTGCTGTGCATGAATACAGACAGCTCCAGCTCGTGTACAAATATGCATTTGTCAAACGGTACACTCTGGAAGTTGGTCATTGGCTGGCTTCGACATGTTGCCTATAGCCTTCTCAATTTTGAGCTATTTCATCTTCTGCTGGGCCGAGGATGCATCTGATGACGGATACTATTTTCCTCCCCAATCAGGGAAGCTCAGACGACTCTGGATGGACACACACACAGCTATCTTTCCAGAGTTTTCTATTGACAATCCCATCATGGGCGGTAGCTATCTGGATGAGAGCTATAGATACTATGTTCTTTCTTGGTGGCCAGCATCAGTGTTCTCTAAATGTGGCTTTGGCGCATGTGGTACATAGTAGTGCTCGGTCGGATAAAAGGTTCGTTACTGGCTGATACTATTTCAAGCACATGGATCGACATGGTATATGCCCCGTCAAGAACATATGTGCTTCACTTTTGTGCAGTTCTCAACAAAGACACACATACAAATTTATACTAAGTACTAAAAGATAAAATCAGTTGGCTGCAGACGATTATATATGAATAAGAACATGCTGATGCATTCATGCCCATGTAGCTTGATCCCAGTTCACAGAAGTACATTCAGAAGACAATGCATTTAGAGTTCAATCTCTTTGGGGTCGATATCATCAAACTGGCAAGTCGACAACTGACTTCGGCAACACAGAATTTTGTTTCCTCGTGCCACATGTGTTCCCTTGATCAGCAGGGAATACTGTCCATGACCAAATGGCACCCTGCGGACACGCTCATGGGCTTCAGGAGCGGCCAGTTCCATCCCTTCATGTCGATCCATGATACCGGCTGTTGGCGGCAAATCCCAACAACAGAAATCTTGTCTTTTACACCCATGTCCACCTCGATCGGCAGACAACCTTTATCCAGACCAATTGGCACCCTACGGACATGCTCATGGGCTCAGGCAGCGGCCAGTTCCATCTCCTTCGTGTCGAAACCATGATACCGCATGTCGGCGGCAAATCCAACAACAGAAATTTGCTTTGGCCCCGTGTGCCACCTCGATCGGCAGACAACCTTCATCCAGACCAATTGGCACCCTGCGGACACGCTCATGGGCTAGGAGCGGCCAGTTCCATCTCCTTCAGTCGACCATGATACCGGCATGTCGCGGCAGATCCCAACAACAGAAATCTTGTCTTTTCACACCTCATGCGCCACCAGACCGGCAGAGGACCCTGACCAACTGCCACCCTGCGGACATGCTCATGGGGTCGGTATGGCCTAGTTCCATCTCCTTGGAGTCAATCTTACATCACCATCTTATCTATTGATCGATAATAACAACGGCAACTTTAGTAAGAAGGTATCCATAACCCCCTATCTCTAATTGAGTCAAGTGTTCTTTGGAAAAAAGTATCTTTGGGTCAACCCTGGCCCTAGCGTGGTTGGTCAAAAAAGAGAATTTCTCTTTTCTGACCAACCACGCTAGGGTTAGGTGGTTGCTCTTTAATAGGTTGTTCTTCTAAATCTTTTGCTGCCTTCAATGCCACAAAGTACTAAGTAGAGATTTAACAACTACAATTACCTATTGACAACGCCATATCTACTCAAAGCATGCTTCCTTCCTCCTCTGAATCAGAAAGGTAATCAACTGCACTGGTACGGGTAGTGGGTTTGGTAGCGGTGTATCTTCTTTGGGTTTCTCAGAAGAGAATCTACCCTAGCAGTTTCATAACAGCAGGAGTAGCAGCGGTTCTTTGTTGTTGACTTCTACACGCTGTTGATGTACGAGTGTGTGACAAAGCCATGCACAACTAATTGGGATTGGGATAATTGAATGAACCAATCGAGAATCATCAGTGCAGAACCAGTAATTGTATTTCCAATGAACAATGCTCTAAAATGAATCTGGAACAGAGATCCTGGTCAGTGACGGTGGTGCAGAGTTTCGTTGGTGGTGGCAACGAATTGGCATTGTGAATCTACCACTAGAGCTTCTGACTGTATGAAACATAATGGGATAACCTTTTGTTATTGAGCCAAACTATTACTCAATGTATTTTTTAGAACAAATAATACGATTGATGAACAGGCAGTAGTATACCGAATGTCGATTGGTAAATACCATTCCATGTTAGATATTAGATCTTGTAATGGTAAAATACCATTGTTGGCTGGATTTGGATCGGCCAATGTGAAAAACAGATTGCTGAATGGGGATCCTGCCGTGTAATAGTGGTGCAGAGTTCAGATGTTGATACAAAATTATCCAGTAGCATTATGGGCCCACTAAAGAAGGTTTAATTGAACTAGTGCTTTAGATTTGCCCAGTATGAGTACATGATAGTTTGACAACATGGTTGATGAGTGTTTGCCGCCCCACGAGAGACCACAAAGCTGCACGATGCATGATGAATAACACGGAGAATGATGTAGGTATCCAAATTGTGGAGGGAGTAAGGTCAAAGATTTAAAGGGGAAATCGAAAGAAGACTTTTAATAAAATTTTAAAAAGAAGCAACCATTATCGTGATAATGGTCATCCAGCATGATCCTCGTGTCTCGTGTCCTCGCGTCATCTCTACCCCTAACCCAAGCTCGGCTAGGTAGATAATTTCCCTGTCCCTCTCTAAACCCCCTATTAGTACTTCTCAAACCGGGAGAGCTGTTCGGGCCAGAATCGAATCGAATCGAATCGAATCGAACCGGTAGAGTTAGAGTTTCGATTCGATTCGATGAGGATCCGTTTATCCGTTTGGCTTCTTCTGTAATCTTTGCCTTGCCTGTGAAGCCGGTGCAGGGCAGGAAAATCGTGGCTTTTTCCGCTCTTCCAATAGACCTGGCCACCATGACACTATTGCTGGTCGGTGAACAACAGCGATGGCTACCAGTACCGGGTTCTCAGAGAGCTCTACGTGTATGGATTTCCCTCTGTGCAGCGCTGGTGTTGATACAACTGTCACAAGTGCCCTCCCTATCGCAAAACTACTGGACCAGAAGGGACGACAACATGAACGACATGGAGTTGCAGTTCCACACACAACGGCTTCAAGTACTCCAAAATGTGGAGGAATCCAACCTTTTGGACTGGGGAGCCTATCATGACTTTCACCAGTATCTGGATCATTTTGATTTCTATGTACTGAACAAGACAGCAGATCCTTCACCACCACTGCATCAACTGACCAACTACAGCTACTTTCATCTCCCCGACGAGAAGGGGGCTGATGGTTTGTGTTGGGCAGCCAAGTTGTTTTACAAGCACTATCAACAACCAAATGCTACGGCTTTGCCACATGTTCTGTTTGCCTATCTCAATCGAGATTGGGGTGCCTTTTCTGTCAAGTGGCTGGCTGGAGTCTATCTTCATCCAGACTACACCGAGAGACTTGCCAAGAAGCAAAAGGAATGCTATGATCAAAATGGCAACAATATACTTGATTTATACTTGAACCATCCCAATACCAAGGCTGTCATCACTACCCAAGCACATGATGTTTCATATGAAAAGGGCCATTCCATTGCCTTGGGATTGGAAGCATCTGTACGAGCCAACTTGATTTCCAGGCTACTCCAACAACAACAGCCCCACCAACCAAGGCCTGTCCTGCTATACATTAATTACCGGGAATGGGAGTTTCGCACAGCACCTCTGCAGCCTCTGCACGAACGACTGCAAGTACCCAACAGCTATCAGCGGCAGTGGGACCCTCATAACGTCGATCCAGCAACCTTTCTCCGTCCATTGACTCGTCTCCACCAAATTCATCAAAGCATTCTAGAATTTGTGCGCCACAAGATATTAAGAATTCCCCTTTCCCAGGAAACACAGTATTTTCACAACATTAGTCATGCCAAGTTTATGCTTTCCCCTGTGGGGTGGGGAATGGATTGCTACCGGAACTATGAAATGTTGTACATGGGCACCATTCCCGTGATCGAGACCCGGAATCACACCCACAACAGATGGTTTCGTGTTTTTGATGACCTCCCAGTGGCATTCATTGATCACTATGACAACCTGACAAATGAATGGCTGGAGGCGGAATACAGGAGGATATTGCAGGGCTCCTATCGTTGGGAAAAACTGACCAAACAGTACTGGGTGAATTTTACCAAGGCATTTGTGGAATGAATTGATTGCAGAAGGAAGGATCCGAGGGACAGTAGATCATCCAGAAGCTACCTTGACAATTGTCATTACCTAATCTATCGGTACCGTAGGTCATTGGGTCAACGCAAATATGGACTGGTAGTTGTAAGCACAAGCAAAAGGCTTCTACTTTTTCTTTAGACGTGGTAACCATCGCAGTTGTCATTACCAAATCTATACCGGTACCGTAGGTCATTGGGTCAACGCAAACATGGACTGGTAGTTGTACGCACAAGCAAAAGGTTTCTGCTAACCATCGCAGTAAAGCCTGGCCCTCGCTGGCTTCCGAGGTACATCGTAACTTCTCTGCTCTAAAGGCGTTTTTAAAACGGAGCGTACAGTGCATGCCAGGTACTTCTATAGGGTTTAGAGTATGTGGATAGCTATGCATATGTGGATTATCTTAAGAGAGTCGTTACCATGGGTTAGAGGGGACTAGGGAGAGGAAGGGTTGCAGAGGAGGAGGGCATCTACGGAAGCCAGCCGGGGCCAGGTACATGCTCCAAAGAAGCAAAGCAAGAGGTGCGGGAATTCTTTGAGCAATCTTTGGATTGAACCAAACGGTCTACGTAGAGAGTTTCAATGAGGATTCTTGCTCCTTCCGTAATCTTTGTGAAGCCAGCATTGAGCATCCTCTACCATATCAGATAGACAGCCTTAGGCTACCGGTACTAGTACAGGTATTGCCCTCGACCTGCATTTTTCTAAAGGCCAAGGTTTCCGATTTTCGAATTTTTTTTCTGCCATTCGCTAAATGTAGTCTAGTATGTAGTATCTAGATCTAGGATTTGCTTTCATAAAAATAGTTATGAGTTCAGATGTGAGGTCCAAAGCACCTGAGAATTCTAGTAGGGGATGGCGGTTTTGATTTCAACAATTTGTTGAATTTAGCGTTTGTTCTCCTTTTGAAGCTGTGCTGGAGTTGAACCAAACAAGTTCTGGTTCATAGTACATGGAACTGGGGAGTGTGGCAAGTTCCGTAATTCATCCATCTGTTGAGGAGTGTTGAGAGCACTAGCTACTAAATCTATACATAGTCCATTATGTTGTAGTTCATTGGTCTCTACCTCGAGATAGCTAGCCAGCTAGAAATATTTCCGGGGTTGCCGCCACACGCAACGCCGCTACCGCAGTAACGGCACTACCTAGCTAGTACTCGTACGGCCTTGTGTCTGGCTGGAGCATCGCCCCCGATCCAACGGTGTACTGTACCGGTACGTCCAGTACAGTTAGTGTTTCCATGAATGATCCGTTGCTGGACGGACTGGCCAATAGCTTTCTCACAATTTGAACGTCCTCTTCCTTTCGTACTGAGTATGGTGCCGGTCGGTGAACAACAACTACAACGCCTTTCTCGGACATCCCTCTGGATTTCCCTCTGTGTAACTCTGGTGTTGTTACAACTGTTGAACATGCCCTCCTTATCGCAACAATACTGGACCAGAATCAATATTGACAACACGAAGGACTTGGAGACGCGATTCCACACGCGACGACTGCAAGTACTCCAGAATGTGGAGGAATCCAATATTTTGGACTGGCGACCCTATCATGACTTTCACAGCTATCTGGACCATTTTGAGTTCTATGTACTGAACAAGACAGCAGATCCTTCACCACCACTGCATCAACTGACCAACTACAGCTACTTTCATCTCCCCGACGAGAAGGGGGCTGACGGTTTGTGTTGGGCAGCCAAGTTGTTTTACAAACACTATCAACAGCCAAATGCTACAGCTTTGCCGCATGTCCTTCTTGCCTATATCAGTCGAGATTGGGGTGCCTTTTCTGTCAAGTGGACCCGTGGAGTCTATCTTCATCCAGACTACACCGAGAGACTTGCCAAGAAGCAAAAGGAATGCTATGATCAAAACGGCAACAATATACTTGATTTATACTTGAACCATCCCGATACCAAGGCTGTCATCACCACCCAAGGACATGATGTTTCAAACAAAAAGGGGCATTCCATTGCCTTGGGATTGGAAGGATATGTGCAAGTACACATGATTTCCAGGCTACTCCAACAACAACAGCCCCGCCAACCAAGGCCGGTCCCGCTGTACATTAGCTACCGGGAAAGGGATTTCCGCATAGCACCTTTGCAGCCTCTGCACAAACGATTGCAAATACCCAACAGCTATCAGCGACCATGGGGCCCTGATAGTGTCCAACAAGAGGTATTGCGTCCGTTGTCTCAAGTCGTTCGGATTCGTCGAGGCATTCTATATTTTTGGCGCCACAAGATACGAAGGCTTCCCCTGAACTCAGATATGCAAATTTTGCAGGACGGAATGCAGTATTTTCATGACGTTAGTCATGCCAAGTTTATGCTTTCCCCTGTGGGGTGGGGAATGGATTGCTACCGGAACTATGAAATGTTGTACATGGGCACAATTCCCGTGATCGAGACCCGGAATCGCACCCATGACAGGTGGTTTCGTGTTTTTGATGACCTCCCAGTGGCATTCATTGATCACTATGACAACCTGACAAACAAATGGCTGGAGGTGGAATATAGGAGGATATTGCAGGGCTCCTATCGTTGGGAAAAACTGACCAAACAGTACTGGGTTAATTTTACCAAGGCATTTGTGGAATGAATTGATGGGGAAAGAAGGAATCGGTAGATCATCTATAAGAAATAGTTTTGCCGTATCTACCTGAAATCCAAAGCTGTCTTCCAGGGATGCCACCGCAACGAAAGTCATACTCTCAACACGCTAGTAAGACTTTTTCTTCAAGGAGCGGCTAACTAGCTAGGAGAGCGAATTCACCTACATGTTCTAGTAGCTGGCTGGTACCAAAGGGAGGAATACGGGTATAGTATGATGCCAAAGGTTGCTATGGTATTGGTACAAATCCTGGAGAGGTGCACCAAAGTACCAATGACTGCAAATTGATCAACGGCACCAACTAAGGTCATCAAGGCAAGTGTTTCGTTGTGTTGAGTAGCCCAAACCTAGCCTGCATCTGCTGTAGTTTGTCTTCCCGCTGACAGATTATGCATCCAGAACACCAAGCTAGAGCTAGCTGGTATGCATAGCTACGGGCAGCTTGCAGCACACCCTTGACCTACCGGTACGTGTGCCAGTGCCAAAAGATCCACCATCCAGTCAAGGCACTCGCCAACAGAGTCACAAAGGCCCAACATCGCTCTCAGATATCTAAGCTGAACCAACTTTTAGTTAGTTTAGTAGATAGATATCGCTGGGGAGCTAGCTAGCAGCTATGCATAGATTGCCTGATTTCTCATCTCCCGATCCCACACACACTTCAAGGATATGGATAGGGTTGCTGTGGATTGAAACGTCTGACGTCACTATCGTGACACGAAATCATCTATCTTCAGCCGCCAGAGTAGAGAACCGAAAGGATCCGACTCGACTCGACTCTCTTCACAACCGTTCACTTCTGTATTTGCGCTTTGACACAATCCAGCTTCCTCAACCGATATTACCTGTTGTCTGGCTTGTTTGTTGACCGTTCGCCCTTCCTTGTCTATGTCACCATGGTCTATGGGAAGCTTCTCCCCCTACTCGTGTTTGCGCTTCCACTACCATCCCACGCGTTGGCGTCGGCTGCAGGAAACATATCACCCGTTCGATCTGTCGTGGTAGTGGGAGGCACCCATGGCAATGAGTATACTGGGGTGTGGTGCATTAAGGAGCTGGAACAACCTTCTGTCTTCAAGAGCTTTTCCAAGCAATACCCTTCTCTGGACATTTCCACATTAATCGGAAACCCAGATGCTCACTTGGCCAATCGAAGGTTTTTGGACACTGATCTGAATCGAGAGTTTACTACTCAAAAGCTGCAGGCCATTCAAGATAAACTGGATGCATTACAAGGTGACCCTGAACAAGGAATTCCTATTGAGAGCTTGAGAGCAAACCAAATCAACAAGCTGTTGGGACCTAAAACAGACCCCACCACAGATGTGGTGGTTGATTTACACACAACAACAACCAACATGGGTGTGGCCATTATAATCCCCGAAAATGATCCTTTGATGTTGCAGGCAGCTGCCTATGTGCTCCACAAATGCCGAGAAAATCCAGTCAAAAGCCTCCCAAACTCGGGACCCACTGTAGTGAGTGAGGAGGCATACATCCTTTTGGAGTCTATCCCAGACCGAGATGACCGACCCTTCCTGGCAAGTGTTGCGAAACATGAATTTACCATTGAAATTGGACCTGTCCCACAAGGAGTTGTGAGGCATGATGGTGTTGAAAAGACCAAACAAGCCATGGAGGCATTCCTGGAGTTTCTAGAAAAACGCAACAAGGACTGTGCCAGTGATAGCCCTGATGAAGGGGTTCGGAAGCAAATCAAGCAGTGGTTCCCTTCTGGTCGTGTTCCTTGCTATCAATCAGCCAAGACAACTAGACCAGGAGAAAATCTGGGGAAAATCCAATGGCCTTGTGCAGATGATAACCCCAACTTCCCTTCCCATATGGTGCACAAATCGATTCAGGATCAAGACTTCAAGCTACTGCGGCGGGGAGACCCACTCTTTGTGACAATGACAGGTGACGTGATCCCCTATGATGGTTCACATGGTGACTCTGTTTATCTCATGTTTATCAATGAAGGTGGTTATTACTACTCTAGTTCTGGCACGGGCATCGGTGTTGCGGTGAAAACAGAATATGACCTAGAAACATCCAAAGTCTATGATGCAGACGAAATTTCTCTGAATGGCTCTTGAAGCAACTGAGCCAGTACCATGGTAGTGAGAGTGCAAAAGACAAACCAGACATTTTCAATCTGCTGAATTGCTACAGCATACGGTACCTCTAAGGATCTGATACTGTTTAGGCATTCTCCAGTACCCAACTATCAATCTGGCTCCATTCCTACTTGCTAGACTCTCCAATTTTATTGAGCCAAGGTACCGGTACCAGTGCAAACAAAAGCGAGCAGCATGAGTGACAACTATCTAGCCATATCTCTGTAGCGCGGAGTTCTTGCATAGCTGTTCAGCAGGAGGAATCCTGGCGGACTGAAACTCCGTCCTGGATTCCTCCAGCATTCCACTCCATCTTAGCAATGCTGCAACTCTGCAACGACAGTGAAGAGTGATTTCCTTTACTCTAACAGCTGGCTAGCTAGTGTCACAACGAGCTAGCTAGAGTTGCAACGTTGCTACCTGGTTCTGGTACCGGTACCGGCTCTACCGAAAGCCGCCTCGTTTCGCTTTTGCTTTCGTTGTTTCGTGAAGTCAAGGCAGGAACAAGTGGCTTGATCCCGGCGAAACTGGCCACTATCATGCGCAAACTGTAGGGAGAATAATAGATGGGGTAAATAATGGATATGTAGTATCGTTAATGAAAAATTTCTTTACCCCAGCTTTGTGAATTCCAAATCCTGATCCCGCCAGGAATTCTTACAGTCGTACTACAGCACATTCTTTCCCAAGTTTAAAGTCTTTTCCCTTTTCTCTATCTCTTCCCACCAGAGCCAAAGCAAAGCTTCGTCTCTCCGTGCCAAGAATGGATACTACTGTTATAGGAAGATGAACAACAACAGCACCAAGTACTCTGATTCCCTCACGGACAGCACCGAGAGCGGCGGTCGACAAAGGAGGCATTATTCCTTGCGATTGTCCACGAACGACGAACTCACATCATCCGGCTCCACCTATTTTTCGCCTCCCAAGCGCCGTCAATCGATTAGCAAAGTGACGGAGGAACTGACCATAAACAAGTTGCGATTTTCCAAGGTTGGGTTTTATGGACGAGACGCCGAGGTGCAGACGCTCCAAAGATGCTTGGATCGGGCCAAGGCAGAAGGGACACGGGAGGTTTGTTTTGTCCACGGATTCTCGGGAAATGGGAAAACGACCCTGGCCAGGTCCATTCAGTCTTCTCTGTTGCGAGACGATGGAGGAGTCTTTGTGGAGGGAAAGTTTGATTTGACGTTGGAAGATTCATTTGATCCAAATGCGGGCATTGGGCTGGTATGTCGCAACTTGTGTCATGCACTTGACAAACGGATTCTTCTGTCATCTGATGGGACACTTTCCATTGCAACAATCCGGGAGCAATTCGAGGACCAACTGGGGGAAGAACTGAAACTGCTGCTGGACGTCCTGCCAGAGCTACGGGAGATTTTGGGGAACGAAAATAATGAGAAAGAAAACGAAAACACCAACGAAAACAACCACAGCAACATGAGCAATCAAGCCAGAAGTCAACAGTTCCAATACATTCTGCGTGTGTTCCTCCGCATCGTCTGCTCTTGCATCTCGCCAGTGGCCATTCTACTCGATGATTTACAGTGGGCATCTAAAGAGTCCTTGGACATCTTATCGACAATCATCATGGATCGAGAAAACACTTCCGGCTTGCTCCTAATTGGATGCTACCGCAGCAACGAAGTAGATCCAACCCATCCGCTGTCACGTGTCCTGGCGGACCTTGCCCACAACGAAACTGATCCAGGCTACCGAATCACTTACTTGGAAGTGAACAATCTTAGCCTGGACGATTCCAATTCGGTCCTGATGGACCTGCTTTCGATAGATGCCCCCGAAACGACACTGGAACTGGCACAACTCGCGCATCAGAGAACCCTCGGAAACGCCTACTTTTTCTTGCAGTTTGTGGCCATGCTGCACGAACACGAACTACTCGAATTTCACCTGGGGTTACTACAGTGGGTTTGGGACGTGCCCAAAATCAAAGAGGAAACGGTGGCATCTCCCAACGTGGTGACATTGGTACGACAACGCATGCAAAAGTCCACCGAGTCGATGCGGTGCTTTCTCAAAGTCATGTCGTGTCTAGGGCCTTTGCCTTCCGAACGAGTGGTCGAGCTTGCCTGGGAAAAGGCAGCGAATGAAACGACGAGCGTGACGGAAATCATGCAGCAAGCCAAAGAGACACAGTACATTGAACAACGGGGCGATTCCAACTATCGCTTTATACACGACAAAGTGCTCGAGGCGTCCTTGTCTCTAATGATGGAGGAAGAGCGGGGCAAACTCCGTTTTGCCATTGGGAAGCAGTTACTCAATGGTCTCACCAAGGAGGAGGTGGAATCGGAGCTGTTTCTGATTGCGGACTTGCTCGATGCAAACGCCAATGCCATTTCCGAGACGGACCGTCAAGTCATGATTGAAGTGAACCTTCGGGCAGCCGAAAAGGCAAAATCATTGTCTGCATTCTCGAGCGCCGTCAAATTTGCCATGACGGGCACATCATTACTTTCGGAGGACGCCTGGCAAAACAACTACGAACGCACTTTGCGCCTTTACTCCGTCGGAGCGGAAGCGGCTGGTACTGTGGGCAAAGTTGATATCCTGAACGAGATAAGTCAGATTGTGTTACCCAGAAAGAATGTCCCTATCGAGGATAAGTTGAGGGTGTACAATGCCCTCCTAGACTCCATGGCAAGCAACGGGAGGCTTGTGGAAGCGCAGCACCTAGTCTGTGAGCTGTTGGACAAACTTGGTTGCAAAGTCCCTAGGCTCGGTCCGTCAATTGCGTATCATACATTTCTGCCGATCCTGTCATTGAAGCGGAAAGCGCCATCCAAAGAAGCGATTCAGAAACTGCCCAAGATGACAGATCGAAGGAAGAGCGAGTGTCTGAGGCTTCTATACCAGTTGCAGACTTTCTCCTACTTGAACCGTGAAGTTCCCCTATTTCTGTGGAGTTGCACACGACAAATTCTTTTGACCATGAAATATGGCCTACATGAGTTGTCAGCAGCTGCCTTTCCAGCCATGGGAGCCATCATGGTAGCTCTTTTCACCGATTTCCAAACGGGAACTCTGTTTGCCAGGCACGGGAAATTGATTGTGGGGCTTATCGGATCGAGAGTTGCGGAAGCTCGAGTGGCCTTTAGCTCTATCATGGCGCCTTCCTACTACCAGCCAATGCAGTCCTTGATCAAAGGACTTTCCGAAAGCTACAAGATTGGTATGCAAGTTGGGGACACTGATAGGTAAGTGCACTCCCATCACAAGGCGATGTGGAAGGCGGCATGCCGCTGAAATCGTATGCCGCTCACTTACCACTTTTTCCTGCAACTTCCAGTGCAATGTGGTGCGTGGCCCACAGCTGTTGGCTCCAGTTCATGACAGGCAAAGAACTGTCGTATGTAGAAGATGAATGCCGTGTGAACGTGAATCGAATGAAAGATCTGAACAGGAAAGAAGCTGTGCATTTCACTTGCCCTATCTGGCAAACTACGCTTAATTTGATGGGTTCATCGCAGTTCACAACAGTTCTTGCTGGAGGGGCCTTTGGGATCGACGACGAGAAAGAAATATGGGGTATCACAGCGGACGGTCCCCTTCGACCACATTTGGAGATCTGTAAGACCCTCCTGTTGACTTACTTTGGCGATTATGTTGCCGGCGCCGATTTGTTCATCAAACGCGGCGATCGATATCTGAAGGATCATCCTGGCCACCCTCAAGGCAACATGGACTCGTTCCTCCGAGGCGTGTGCTTGTTTGCGGCGTATGACAAGACGGGGAAGCGCAAGTACCGTAGCAACGCCTATAAGGCTCGTGCAACAATAGCTTCTTGGTGGAAGAAAGGAAATCCCAATTCCCAGCATCAGTTGAGTTTCTTGGATGCAGAGCACTACAGCCTACAAAAGAAGTGGGAAGACGCCGCCGTCTGTTACCAAAAGGCAATCACTCTGGCTTCTCGATCTGGTCTCATTCAGGATGCTGCTTTGGCAAACGAACGATACGCTGCATGCCTCCTCAAGCAGGGAAACCTTGAGGATGCTCGTTTTCGTCTCATTCAGTCGGTAAAACTCTTCCGAGAGTGGGGAGCCTTGGGCATTGTCGAATCTCTGGAGCAGAAGCATGCAAATATTCTTTCCATGTGTACCACCGAGTTTCGTGAGAGTGCTGAAGCCGCCGCAAGCCAACCATTCTAGCTGCAACACCGTCGCCAGATACATACCGGTACATGTACACGGTTGCATTGAATTCAAGGATGCCTTGGCGACAATGAAAAGAAACAAACCGCTAGCAAGGTCGTGTTGCATGCCCCCACTGGAAGCCCCTACTGCTTGGCTTCCAGTCTATCCACTTGCTGCGCGATCGTGCCGAGATGATGGAAAGATCTGACATGGCCTCACTTGGACTGACAAACACTGGTACTACGTGTCACTGGGTGTAGCCAGGAATAACTCAAAGTGCTCCAGGGCAAAGTGGTGATGGGAGAGGCTGGTCCAAATTGGAGTAAGACGTGGGAGTCAACCCAGCCATTGGTTTGGTTTTGCCATCGTTTTGATTCCTTCCTTGTGGTAAGGCAGCGGGAATCAAGACGACCTGGCAAGGAATCTGGAATCTTGTAAGATTCCAAGGCTGAGCTGTGGGTTGTGGGAGTCAAGAATGAGCAAACCGATAACGCCGGACACCAGCTCATAAAAACCACAACACAAACCAACCAAAACAGTTTCCGTACTCAACAAAGAATTCAATTGATGCTCACCACCGCCACCTCCGATATTGTTTCAAATCCAATCATCAACGAATCTGACAGCACCATTGCCGAGTTGGAGAAGGCTCTCATGGATCTTGACAACATGATTACGCCTCTCCAAACCAAGACACAGAAGAAACTCAACAAGATTGAGGAGGAGATTACTAACTGCAACTTTTTGATCGATTCTGGATTGGGATCCAAGAAGGATCAAGCAGAGCTCCGCAAGACCAAGAAGTCGCTTCGCAGTCGCCGTGTCAAGCTCTGGGATGAAATGAAGGCTCTTCCTGCATTGGAGGAGGAACGCGAGGATCTGGTCACCCAACTCAAGGAACTTCGCCGTCGCTACGGAATCCTTGATGATGACATCTGACATGAGGCCTGGTGTTGGAAAAGACTACTTATTGTAGCTCTCAAACCGGTAGTAACAACTAGCGAAACAAGTTACCCATTATTGCTTCTTCATTTTAGTTTTGTAGAGGAAGCGCCAAAAGCGAAGTGGTTCCCTGTTGCTACCTCGTACCTGTAGGACGCCAACTGCTTGTCCCAGCAATGAACCTCAGGACACACATGATTTCACGAATCACAGAACGCAACTTACGGCAAAACCAAGTTGCCCTGGCTGCGTTCTGCTGTGCGCAACTGAATGAAGAGGACGTATCTGCATGAAAGTCTTGCATGCCCTGGCAATCAAAGTTGCGATGCTGATAGGGTTTGGTCACAAACGCACAGCAAGGTTTCATTCTACCGGCACCTTCTTAAAGGCCTAAACTGTACAAACCACTTTAAAATTGTTTGCGTCAAAAGCTCCTTATTACGAATCTGAGTGGATCATTTATCTGTTATCGCAGCTTCGCATATGAATGAACGCGTGCGCGCGCCATGGAGTGAATTTTCGTATAGCTAAAGCGAGTCGCTGGCTCTCTTGTGTCATGTAGTTGTTTGTGCTGCTCCATTCATTTGCGCATTGCAGAATAGTTTTTTTGTCTGTTCGGTTGTTTGTTTTTACCATTTACATTCCCATGATGAGTGGAATGGTCCCGGGATCTCGCATGGCTTGGTAGAGACTGCCAATGAGACAGACCATGACGGCCGTCAGACTCCATCCTTCCGTCTTTTTGCCAATGAGTTTCTTGTCTCGCAGAGTAACAATCAGCGACGAATAGCTCGCTCCCATGGCCACCATGATCATGGCATAGACAGCTCCACCCTTTAAATGCAAATGACCGGGTTGCTGCAACAAATTGAGATAAAAGAATCGATCCTGCTGGATGCCAAACTGCCATCCAATGGCGACAAAAAAGGGCGCCCCAATCAGAATGGGCATCATGTAGACGAACACGTCCTTCCAGTATTGCCAGGGTGTCATTGTTTGAGTTGCATTTTTGTGCTGTTGTCGACTGGCAATGAGTGCCTTTAATCGGACAAGGTTGTCGGCCATTCCCATCAACCCAATGGCATCCATGGTCAAATAGAATGCCTTGGAGGCGATTCCATTGAGACTGGCGGGATACCACGTGGATGTCCATAAGGCACTGACACTGCCGAGAATGGCCACGGCGGCATTGCACAAGAATGTATTCCGAATGGCGGGTTGTCCTCGTCGGTAGCGACAAGCCATGGAGACGCTACTGAAGGATTGTGCCACACTACTGGCAATGAGGGTCCAGAGGCACCATTGAAAGGGTCGACCATGACGCGTGACGGGGATGGTCCATCCATTGGCCACTAGATCGCGCAGGGCATACGCCGTCAAGGCCCAACTCGATAGCAAAAAGAGGACACCGGTGATTTTGTGCGTGTGCTTCCAATCTTCTCGGGTAATCAAACGGCGTTTCCAGAGTTGGAGAACATTGTTGTTGTGGGACTTTTTGGACAATGGCTTTGATACTGACTGTGGTCGAGCAATCGTTCTTGGAGTGGAGACAGAGCCAGGCACGATGTCTGATGTGGCTGTTGCTGTGGATTGCCGTGTGTCTTCTTCTACATGTAGAGAGTCGATTGTCGGAAGTGGAGCAAAACTCGGTACAGCCGATAGATGATGATGCTGATGATGTTTGAGCGTCTCGAGCTCCAAGGGAGTGACCAGTGGCCGTTCCACTCCCAAACTGTACTGGAGGGATCCCCCGTCGTTCTGGGGTAGTTGTTGACGCGAAAGGAACGACGGCCGATTGGATACAAACGCCTCCGTTGGGCTCCATGAGGACGACATACACCCCACGCAAAGAATGATGGTTGCGGATCGCCATCGGCCACTCTCTTCTGGTCGTCTTCGTTTCATGCCCATGGCTCCTCTGGTCTTTCTGGGAGGATGGATACTGCTGGATTGTCTCTCCATCCCGAGTTTGTTTTATGGCAGGATGGTTGGATGAGCTGTTGGATGCTCGATGGAAGTTGGTTGCTTGGGATGATCAGCAAAGCAACAGCAGCAGCAACATGCTGGATGAGCTCTGGATGAGAGTGGAAGGCTTTTGCTTGCCCAAAAGGAACTCCCCACGACACCAAAGATTTTCTCACTATCACACTTAGTGTACTCTGTCACGGAAAGTGACATTTGGAGGGGCAGTTTGAGTTCGGTGAAATGCACCACGTCAGTCGGTCCGTTATTTGACATATGGACATGACAATAACAAAGAAGGCTAATTATGACCAGTGACTGGAGGAAATGTCCCTTTCCAAATGACGTGGCCGGGCACAACAGACCAAGATATTGCATTAGGGATCAGGATAGATCGAGTCGAGTCGAGTCGAGTGACGGTCAGTCAAGTCGTGTCGCTCACCGAGGATCTTTGTTTTGGCTTCTTCCTGCTTCCCATTCTTTTTCATTTTCTTGTTTGTTTCAAGTGTTGGAAAGGACAAGCAAGATGGCAAGTAATACTGTTGGTAACTCCACCAACACTGCCACCATTGCCTTTGCGGTTGGTGCTGTGGTGGCTTCCACCATCTGGCTAGCTACCTCCAAGCAGAAGAAAAAGCCGCTCCATGTTTCCTACAACAAACCCAAGCTTCATTGGGCTTTTCACATTCTTGCCGCACTTCCAACTTCCATGAGGCGTAAAATGCTCCTCCAAGGCGCCGCTCCCAAGCCTCCCATGGATGTCGTCTCTCTTGGCAGTAGCATGGATGATGATACTACTACTAATAGTATTGGCAGCAGTCCGTACATGGAAAAGAAGGAACTGGTGCCTGGAAAACTCTGGAGGGTCCGATACCAATTTGCCCGTGATCTCAACATGATGGGAATCTACAAGAGCATGTTTGGCTGGGACTTGTTGGATACCGAGACCTTGCTGAAACAAGTACCCAACAATGATGAGAAGATCAAGGAGCAGTTGAAACAGATCATTCAAGACTTGGCGGCTCTGCAAGACAGTATTGGTAAGGACGACGACGCAGTCACGCAAGCCAAAAAAGTGCTACAAGCAGGACTCTACGAAACGCAGGATATGCTGGTGGTGAAACTCGACAATACTGATGGTGGGTTGCTCTTGTACAATCCCTGTCGGATGCACGAGGAAATGATACAGTACCTTCACACATTGGGCTCTTCCGTCGACTACATTGTCTCTGGGAGTTCCAGCCACACAAATCAACTACCACAGGCCATGGCGGCATTCCCATCCGCCAAACTCATTTGTGCTGGCGTGGCACACGAAAAGTGTTTGGCGGCAGGAATGGCGACGACGACATCCGCCATTATTTATACCGATGGATTCCAGGCAGCCGCCGCCGAGCTGGCCCCGTTGGGCGTGCAACCGGTACACATTGTGGGAGACACGTTTACGCAGAGTCTCGTGCTGGTGGCGCATGGTCATTTGTTGGACGTCGATCTATCTACCTATGGGAACGGTTACAGATACTTGCATATTAGTGATGATGACTGGAACAACACGGACGATCGACGATTGTCCATGGGGTATTTCCGATTGTTATACTATGCATCTGTGGCCAATGGAACCGTGGCCAAAGGGTACTTGCCCGACTTTCGGGTCCTCGGCTGCGATCCAACTTCGATTTTCCACAAACTCATGCCAGAGGAACCCGAGCCAGATGGATCGTCTTGTGTTGCCATGGCCCAGTCGTTGCGGAATCTGCTGACAAATGTCAAGTTTGACTTTGTCGACAATGTTCACTCGAGCCTGGAAGATGCTTGTCCGGCGGATGAATTCAAACAAGCTGTGAATGGATGCTGGTCATGGTTGGATGGGAAGAGTCTCTTGGAAGCGTAGAAAGAACCCATGAGATAGTAGATTGAATTGGAGAGGGATCAAATCCTGTGGGTTGTTCCGGGCCATTGATGATGGTGATGGTGATGGTCGTCTTTGGTCAGACCCAGCAACAACCTCTGTGCTCATCAACTACGTATCGTAATGAATATGCGTTCCCGGTCACTGGGTTTCATGCATGATCTCTTTGTGCTTAGCTAGCTAGCTTATCAATCCGTGTGATTGGGTAGCAACTTTGGTTCAATCCTGGGGCCAGCACCTTCTCCCCCAAAGCAAGAAGCCGCCACAGACATTGGATTTACAGTCCGAGTCTTCGTTGCACTCTTCGCCAGTGTCCAACTGCGGGGCGCAGACGGAGTCCACAAGGGGTAGCCACCCAAACAAGCCTTGTTCACAACGACCGCTGGCGCAATCCTCATCGTCCCGACAGTGCATTCCTTCGTTCATTTTGCCATGGTAAGGGGCGCATTCACTCACACTTTGGATGCAGGTTTTGGACACGCATTGTTCGTCGCGTCTGCACCGTTCCCCAGCATCGAAACCAGCATTGCAGAATCCAAGATCAGTGCAAAAAGCACTTTCACAGTCTTCATCTGTTTTGCACCAATGACCATCTTTCCATCCGCTGGCAGGGACGGGGAAACAAGAGTTCTCGTAGAGCTGTCGCGTTTTGGCGTCGTAATTGCAGGGAGAATGAACCAAAAGGCTGTATGTGAGAGGGTTCCGCTTGACGGGGTTATTGATGCCCATGTAATTCATATCATTGCCATCAAACAAGATTTCATGACCTATATGGGAGGCGGCAAAGAAAGCCTGAACTGAGAAATTACTCTCTCCTTTTCCCCCTTTTCCTCCCTCTTTTTGTGCTCACCGATTTGCTGACTAAAGAAGGCCCATTGGTAGGGGATGAAATCTATAAGCCTCAACGTGGAGTCTGTGATCACAAAGCGATAATGGTTTTGCGGGTTGACGTCTTGACACACAGAGGCATCAATAGGACTGATCCGATACAGCGCTCGAACTCCACCCCATGTTATGACGGTTGGGTCAAGGTGTCGGTAGACTATAGACGCAACAACGGCAGGACCTGCACCTTGTGAGCCACCTGTGATGACAAGGGGACATGTGCCTCCTTTGCAAGAGTTTAGACATAGTTGCACTGAATGAACAGAATGCAAGCTTGGTGAGGTAGAGTTTCTCGGAGTCACAATGACATCTTCACTGACTTACTTCTCCGTTCGAAATCGTTCACGTAGGGTGTGTAGTATGCATCATAGTAACCCTTGCGAATGTAGCAGTTGGTGTCACCAACGTTGGCAACTGTTGGATTCAAGTTCTGAAATACCAAATCATTAATATTGAAGTAAGATGTGCCTCGAAATGCCACGTAACACATTCCTTCAATCTTTGCCATAACAGTGACATCGTCGACACCGTCATCCCATGCCATGAAATGTTCGTATAAGTCTTGGTACTTTGGTAGATTGTTCAGTAGACCTCCATCATAGCAAACTGTACCAGAAAGGTACTCGCTGATGTATGCTTTGCGCAGAAACTCCTCATTCAGAATGGTGGATGGATTGCGTATTGAGTTTTGGGCTTCTGAGGTGCATTGTGGGTTTCTGCCAGCATTCAACCAATCATTCGACGGTTCAGTATGAAATATCCAATGGTCCCTATCAATAGTGCTGTTTTCCAACAAGCGGTTGTCATTCTTCATCCGTAGTTGTGAGGCGGACTGGCCAGGGATTTCATCAACACGTTCCTGTACTGCGTCTTGCTCCTTGCATTGCAGCTCGATAGTTGCTTGGGCTGTCGTTCTCTTCCCGTCGTGGTTCACAACAGCAGTAGCTTTTGCCGTGAATGACCCACTGTGTTCTGTACAAAGGGGACCGAGATCCTCAAATCTGAATGAGTTTTGCTGCTCCTCAGCTCGCAATTGGTGCGGAAAGTCATTGAAGGTTCTTGGTGTACCGCTCGTTCCTACCCATAGATACCCTGCTTCTAGATTCGATATGCTCTCGATGGACTCACTTGTTAGAATTGAAATGGTTGCATGGATGTTCTTCTCGTCTCGATCCTTTGCTCTGATGACACAGAATGCACCCAGAATGACGTCTTTTTCGATACGGAGGGGTTGACATACTGGGAAGCCAGCGATGAGATCTATTGGTCTTCTGGACTCTTTTACACTGCCATAGCTAAGAGCATCCCATCTTAGTTTGACGAGCAGTACCAGAGCGCAGATGGCAAAACATAAGATTGTACTCTGGCTTCTGTATCTTCGTATCATTCTTTAACACTCTGCCTTCCAAGATAAGGCATGGAAGGGAAACTGTGATACTGCTTACTCGCAATGATTCCATGGGGCCCCCTTGCAGCTGTTCACTTGCTCCTGCTGTGCTAGAGGGATCTTGTTTGCGCTCTGGCGATTCGCCAGAATGGGATTGGAAGCTGTTTGCGTTGAATGAAGTGGTAAAAATTTGTAGTGTTTCGGAAGAAAATGTGAGGCTCTACAAGACTTGTTTCGACTCGATTCCCGCACGTATCAAAAGAGCCCAGAAGCTTAAATCACGAAGTCTCCTTGTCTGAAAGAGAACTTGAGGAAGAGCTTCCCACGTACCGGAACCGGAGCCGGCACAGTCATAACGTAAAGGTAGTCTATAACGTAGGCACGCAGCTAAACTTGGATCTTGGACTTGTGGCAATGATGAAAGTAGATGTGCAGAGACTGAAGACCATGAAGAAAGTTTTGCACCGACGACGACAGCGGAAGGACAGAAGCCTTCGGCCAGGGTGGATACTACAAAATGAGTCCATTGGAAGGAAGCAGGTCTATCATCTCTTGGAACACAACAAAGGGAGAGGGGCATGGTTGAAAGGGGGGAAACTGTTAGCTAACTAGTCAGACCCAAGAAACGAGAGTACTAATAGCTACCGTATCTCAGACTTGCAGTTTCTACAAAACACCGAGGAATCTAGATACAAAACACTCAGTGGACCCCGTCTACACTGTCGCAAGAAAACGAGGATTCTAGGTAGCTGGCAACGGGTGTACAAGCTGTACCATCCACTGCTGCCAGTGGGATGCTATCTAGGCACAGGAAATCCTGGTTAGGGCTCTTTTCATCCTTGTGGCGGTAGCACCATTGCCTGTTCTCGGCAAAAGCGGTACTACATACGTGAAGGAAAGAGCCATGACAGACACGTCAGCGCACAGTTTGGATTTTAAAAGCTATCTGCACTGATTTTTTGGTTGATATACAGTTTGGTGAGAGGAGACATGGGTTTTTGCTTTGAGAGGGGGGATGCCGCACAGCGCACAGCAAACAGTGACAAGCAAGAGCCTGCATAATCATGCCCTGGTCTTGCGGCTCCTGGGTTTCACGCGTGTTTTCTTCGCCTTCGTGGCAGACTTTTTGGTGTTCTTTCTGGTAGACTTCGTCGTAGAAGCGCGCTTTGTGCTCACTTTCTTCGGCGAAGGTGGGGCGCTACTGACCCAATTTTCCAAAAATTCCTCTATATCCTTTTTCGATGCCAAGCATTTTTTTTGAAGACGTTCCTTGGCTTTCAATATGGCATCGTTGTCTTCAGCCTCTGCGCAGCAAAAACTGAAAATAGCTTCTGAAAATTTCTCCATAGACTTGCTGAGTTCCTCCTTCATGAATATTGGACAATCTTTCGTTTCTGTCATGTACTCAAGGCATTTCTTCTGAACTTTGCGGATTGTCTCATTCAAGCGTTTTACGTCATCTTCAAGGTTTAACATGTCTGTCAACTGGGCATTGAGTTGTTCCCCGCGCTCTCCGACGCAGCAGAAGCAGAATTTCTTGCCACAACATGGATAGACATCATGATCTCCAGCTCTTTCGCAGTTACTTGATTCGCAGCCGAAGCATTCTTCGGCTTTACAGTTATCGCTGCAGCTCCCACAAACCGCAAGGTTGTCGCAAGACTTATAACAAATGCAACAATGATGATTTACGAGTAACCTTGTTAACACTTTCGTCTCCACACAGCCTTCTTATATTACTGTACTACTAGTATTGTTTATTTGGAAAAGAGGCAAGATGTCAAGATGTTGAGGTTGAGGTCAACAAGTCAACACCAACCAATGCTATTTAGTACTGGTATTTGTTTTTTAACCAACCAATGCTGCGAGCGCAGAACCCACCAAGGCACCTTCGGCGCGCCAAAAAATGAGGCGCTAACCCTTATAAACAACGAAAATGGGGGGGGGGTTTAGAGTACGGTAGGGAAATTATCTACCGAAGCCAGGGATCAGGGGATGATTGATCGAATGACGTTTGCAAATCCGATCATTCCGTCGCACTATCTTCATTTGGGAGACCATGATGTGGACGTATAGTAGAGCTTTGCTGCCGTTCCTGCAAGCCTTGACCATGAGTGCCCATCCACCAGACTCATTGATAGAATTATCCTCCAGGCCGCAATTACGTGGCGTCATTTTTGATATGGACGGAACCTTGACCGAGCCCAATTTGGATTTCGCATTGATGTACCGTCGTTGTGGTGTAGATCAGAAGCAAGATATTTTGCAAGCCATTGATGAAATGGAGAACGAAGACGATGCTCAGCGTGCCGCTGCCATTGTGGAAGAAATGGAAGGTGAAGGTCGGCGGACACTCCAGCTCATGCCAGGGACGCTGGGAATCTTACAATTCTTGGCATACTACAAGATTCCCACAGCATTGGTCACTCGCAATACACGTGCCACGACGGAGCGGTTTATGGGACTCTTGCAACACGCAAATGGGCCGATCATATCTCCCATTGTCGCGCGAGATACCGAGCCACTGTTGCCGCCCAAACCAGATACTGCGGCCCTGCAGTATATTGCGCAAGAATGGAAGGAACCATTCTTGTCGAAAGAGTTTGTCATGGTGGGGGATTCTCCCGCCAATGACATTTTATTTGGAAAGGCTGCCGGTGTTTCCACAGCATTACTGTGGCAACAACAAGGGGAACCACTACACAGAGCCGATGTCGTGGTCCAACACTTGACGGAACTTCCCAAGCATTGGTATCAAACCTTTCACCTTTCATTATCAACAACAAAGACACCGTCAATATCCAATTCACCAACACGACAACATTCCTCTACTAATAGAGCGACAATGGCTGCTTTGCATGGTGATATGGAAACACTGCAATCCTTGTCAATTACGGAGATTTTGACACCCGATGACACTGGGAGTACTCTGCTCATTTGGGCAGCCGAGGGAGGCCAAGAAATGGCTGTACAATTCCTGTTGGATACGTTACTAAAAAGCAAAACAGCCAAACTACAACGGTACATGAATCATCGAGGATTTCAGGGCAACACAGCCGTGTCCAGAGCTGCCCGACACGGCCACTTGGCGGTCCTCCATCAACTGACGCGAGCTCCCGTTATCATAAACCTCAATATTCCCAATGACAAGCTGCAATATCCACTGCATATTGCAGCCTTTCGGCAACATCATGACTTTGTACAAGAGCTACTGAAAGCTGGAGCCGACGCTCACGTGGTGGATCGAAAGGGACGGACTCCATGGGATGACACGAGTTCCACCAAAATCCAGACCCTGCTACAGTCTTGCATGTCCACGTAGTAAATGTCTGTGGGCAGATGCCACCAAACGCTGCTGCAAGTTCTAGTTGCATTCAGTTTGATTGTTTGGCAAAGAAGAGCCCGGACAGTAACAATGACAATCATCGTTTTCAAAAAGGGCTCATTGCTCAGCGTCGAACACAAACTGGTGCAATTTTGCCAGCATTCATTATGGATATATGACTGATTTAATAATCAGCTTCGAGGAAAGCGTACTCAATCCTCACGAGAACTTTTCCCTCATCGATATATAAAGAACTGATGGATTTTCCCCGGTCCTCATGCTAGCTGGTCAGGCGAAAACTTTGTTAGATCGCCATATTATCATTCTCCACAGCTACCGTATTGTACCATTCTGGGGGGTGTCCTCCCAATAGTGATCTCAGATGTGCTCCATCCTTTCTAGAAATTTCCACAGTGAACAGACTGCCAGTAACATACTATGGGATCCTGTATATTGAATCAATCAGATCCAGAAAAATCCTGTGAAAACTGATCAGAAACCCATCTCCACTATCAAGCTGTGTGCTACCAAGGCCAGAGGGCACTACAACTAACGGCCAAAGCTCCAAAACGACTTTTGGGACTTGACTTCTTCTCGTTCTTGTTCCTTTTGCAACTGTCGTCGTTTGGCCTGTGCCAAGAAGGATTCTAATTGATCATGTTGTGGATTGTTGGCAGGTGTGAACGTCCCTGGTGGTGGTGGTTGTTCGCCATACATAGGACCCTCTCGTTGCCTGGCTTGTTCGTACAGTTCCTTCATGTTGGTGGACATTTCCCACAAGTGCTTGGCTTTGGTGGCACCCACATTTTGAGCCACGTCGTGGATCCATCGATCTTGTAGAATCTTCCATCCTTCCGGACCTGCCTCCCGTTTCATCTTTTGGACTTCTTTATCCCTCCAATTGACCACACAGCCAAGTGCATCCATGTACGGAGTATAACATCTCTGCAAGTGATAATGTCTCCACTGAGCATGATTTTCGGGGTCCTTGTCGGCAGCCAGATAATCGTCCTGAAGAAACGAAACGAAAATGGAAAGCCAGGGAGTAAGTAAGTGTGAGGGAGGGAGGATAGCAGAACCAGCCAGTAACAAAAAATGAGACGGTGCCTTTTACCTTGGCCCATTGAGTGCACTTCATTTGTTGGAGGATTTCTTTGCGGCAGTAAAGCACATTCTTTCTCGTCAAATCATCTTCGTCCAGAAGAATGTCATCGTCCTCTGGAAACTTCTTCAGGTCAAATGGATAGCCTTGGTTGAATGCCATGATGCCGTCTGGATTTCAACCTTGATTGTGAACAGAGGTGCTGCGTGAGGGTGAAAGGTGAGATGTGACAGCGGCCAAGGATTGCGCTGAAAGCCGGTTGAGCGGATAAACATTTGTGCGCATGAGGTAGATCATTCGACGATTACTTGAACGGTTGAAGCTCTGTTCGAGTTAGAGTCAGTTGTTTCCGCGACAAGACGACAAGGAGGACATCTTGGCCACGCTGCGGGGAAAGCCCCCGAATCAAATCCAAAGCTACCACCTCAATGTACCTTAGCTGCAAAGGGCCTCTCGAATTTTGCTTAAAACGCTATGAGAAATGGACCATGACAACAGTTGCGGTTTTCCGTGGACAATGCTTTGGTGTGCCGCTCGATGTCAAGTCAGCATTGGCCTTCCCTGAAGATGAGCTGAACTTGAGTTGCAGAGATACCTATCTACTCCAAAATTGGTTTCATGATGGATTGCACTTCACTGGTGGCTTGGGTGCCTCTGGATCTGCAGGGTTCTCACGTATTCAAGGCCGGGGGGAAACTCAGCAAACTAGGAGCTGGTGATGACATTGAATCCCATAACCTTGACAAAAGAGTAATCACACATGACATTAGTCTAGCTAGGAATCAACAATTGAGAGACCAAGCACCAACATTTGCCACACCTTCTCACTATCTATGAATGGGGATCCTTATCTGCGTCAAGGGAACTCAGACCAGGATGAACAAGTGCTGTCATGAAGATAACTAAGAGGAAGCTCATGACACCAAACAAAGCTAGGGCCTTCTGCAGGACTCGATAAACAACCTGAAAAGGTCCTGGACTTTTCAGAACTAAAGACAACTTTCAAGAGCAAAACGTTGCGGCATCTAATGCAGCTTTGCTGTTTGGTTTCTGCCAACGTGGTGCGAAAACCAAGTCATCAGTACCGGGAGACCCTTGTCGCCTGACATTGCAATTTCCACGATCTTGATGCCTCGTGATGCTCTACATTCTCTGGCACAAAGGACGCAATGATGTGCCTTTTAACCAGCATTTGGCTGGCCACTCAGCTTCTAGCTAGCTAGCTGGCGAGAAAGACGCGGCTAGAATAAGAAGTTTTGGTTGCCAGGTCGGCTTTCTAACTAGCGGCATCAAAAGCAAAGCAGGTCGTCGATTGCGACCGGTGACGAAAGAGGGTCCTCTATTCTACCATCTTCGTGCTCTGCACCGTACGCACCCCGATAGCTGCCTCCTCCTAGCTACCGTCGCCCTCTACATGTAGCTAAATAAAATGCAAGTGCTGTTGCGTTTAATATCGTGATCTATTAACGTAGTTTTGAGTCTAATAGTTGCAGTAGGCATCCTCGGTGTCAGTGTCGTTGTGGTGATTCATGTTTCAAAAGAGAGTGTGGCGGCATGGAAGAAAGGAGGAGATGGATCAAAAAGCCGTAGCAGCGCGTAGCTAGCTGTCTGTAGTGCGTTTAGCATCGTCCATTGTTCTTGAGACGATTAAGCAGAGGCACGCATCGGTCCAGGAGCCTGCAGCAGTCTCCCCATCGATTCCGTGGAACGTAATCGAGCGGTGTGAATCCTCGCTTGTCCGTAACTAGCAGCATTTCTGGGCATTGCTTGAGCAACAGGGCAATCATTTGCACCGAGTTGGGCTCGTTGGTAAACGTCCAAAAGGCGTCGTGCAGTGGAGTTCGTCCATAGTCACAGTGCACACGGGGAGACACTTGTCCCTGTTGGAGTAGGTAGTGGAGAATGGCAGGAGTTCCTCGTCGCACACACACGTGCAAGATGGATTCACCAAACTGGTTGCTAGCTTGGAGACGTGCTCCCGCTTGGTGCATCTTCTTGAGGAGAGGCAAGTCTTGTGTCCGAACGGTTCGAAGCAACTCGGCATCCCAGGCAGCAATGTGCTCGGGAGTCGTCTTGAGGAAGTAGTCACCCAACGCGGCAAAGGGAACACGGTCGAGTTGTGTTTCCAGAATGGTGCAGAGGTGATCACTGGGCTTGGCAGACGAATCGCCGGGGGTGCTTGCCTCTTGTGCCGAGACTTTCTGAATGGCCGCCATGGATGGCTTGGGCCTCACACCAAAGTTGGCCATGGAGGCCGTTCGTGCGAAGGGCTTGTTTGGGGCAGCCCGTCCTGAGGATGTCGTCTTGCTGTCCCGACGCAGGTAGGCACCGAGTGAAGCGGTGGATCGTTCTCTTACCATCTTGGCTACGGCATGGGCCGCTTCCACTTCCATTTCATTCCTTTCGCTCTCGTCGAGCTCTGGTTCCTCATTGTCACTGAGCCACGAAGCGTCGTCGCTCATGGTAGAGGAAGTCTCGCTATGGTTGTCACTAGAGGTATTATCCATGACGAAGAAGTTGTTGGGCAAGTCGAATCGTTCAGGAGATTTGCTGCTGCTGTTGTCCATTGAAACAAATTGGTTGTTTGCAACGCAATATCTGGGTTCGCTGAAGGAAGTCATTATTTTTTGTAATAAGAAGAGAGAACAGGTGCTGGAAGAATAGAAACAGTGCGTGTGATGGTTGCCTTCAATTCTTGGTTTCTTTGCGGTTTATGAACGACCAAGAATGCCAATCTCGGAGGCCCTTGTACCAGCACTGCTTTGTCCGTGCGTCACTTACCAGCAGTTCACTGCCTGTGTTGGCCCATTCAGTGTAACTTTTCGCTCGCTCTTTCAGCCATCAACGTGCGGTTTTCTTCGCTGCAGCTGTTGGTTTATGCGGTGGTGGCTTGGAACAACTCAGGCAAAGGCCTTGCGAGGGCCAAAGCTATAACCGGTTCAGCTACTGTGCTGGAAGAATAATCTTGCTTTTACACGTCAGCTAGCTGTGTCGTGGTGACGAGGCCAGCTGCAACTTGGGAGTGAACACACCATTAATAAACTTTAGGCGTGGAAATTCAGTGACGTGTTGAAGTTGCATGTCCGAAAACATATTCTTAACTCTTTATAGGCAAATACTCCGTGGCAGTCATTCAGAACAAATACTTGAAGGAAACTTTCTTGTCTGTGACGCCACTCTCCGATCCCATCTTTTCCCAGTTTTTTGGTCACACAAAGCTCACACAGTCAGTTTGTTGACTGATGGTTGATGGTTGATGGTCAGTCCCTGCGCCACGACAATTTGGAATGATGATGCACTCCATTTGAAAGCTTGAGCCAACTAACTACATGTAAACAAAACAATGCGTGTACAGTAGCAACTCTATGATAGATGCTACGGTAGGTGGCATTTGTGCACCTCCATCTGGATTGCTTGCCACGAACGGTTGATTGCCAGCCATCGTGGGAGTTTTGGGGTTTGCAATGACTCTCCGTTCCCTTACTTATTACTCCGTGCATAGCTCATCCACAGTTACGTGGCTACGTACACCTTGGACGCTTCCGCCAAGTTCATCGAGGCGCTGGCATTGTAGGAACAGATGGAAGACTGCCATCAGCATATCAGCATGGACCGTGCGTGTTTTGGTTCCCGGGCTCCTCGTCATCCTCATCAGCAGCCGGAGCCACACGGAGACGGGGGCAACCAGCCATGTCTGAAACATCATCAGCATTGTTTCTCCGCACCATGAAGCACGGAAACCTGCTGTTGTTGCAAGGCTGCTCTTCGCTCTTCCACCACACTCCATCAGGGCCAGCCTGACACAAAACCTGCTGGCCAGTCAAGCAACCACGCAATCACCAACGGAGCCATCATCGAATCGGCCATGAAAAGGATTCAGCATTGTAACACGTGAGTCAATTCAGTTCTTGGCAACTCCCTCTGCTCTCGCGATATTTCTGATGTGGTATCCAGCTGACTGCTGAGGCTGCTCCACCCGGCAGGAAGGCATTTCGGGAGCTTCGGCTACTATCCATGGCAGATTCCCCGCGGCTTTTCACTTCTTCCGACGATCGGCCGGCTAGCACGGAATCCCGCAGCGGATCCCTACAGTAAAGTTCATTATTTATTTCTCCGTAGACTCTCTGACCTAGTGGCTCGATGATGAGGAGCTACAAAGACAACTTTGCATATTGGGAGCAACCTACAACAGCAACGCGTGAAGGGGCGATGCATCTCGCTCGGCTCACCCACAAATTCCAGCGACCTCTGCAGCATGCGCTGGTCGACTCCATGGGTCCACCTCTTGTGGGAGTGGTTACATCGTGATGTGGCACTTTGGCTGACACAAAAGCAAGCAGACGGTTTGAGCCCATCTCAACAGAGTGCTGCTTACTCTGGCTGTGTCGTCAGGACTTGCTGCTGCTTACTACTTGTACGCTGCAAAGAAACGAAGTTCGTTTCGCATCGGTTTGCCATCACCAGCCATCGGTCGACTCTGATGTGGAGCTAGTCTGACCACAGCACCGGTGTTGCACTCTCACACATGTACCGGTATCTGTTTTTGTCATTGCAGCCAGCCAGCTAGCTAGAAGTCCGATCTGGGCTGCATACTAGTATGCTCCTTCTACAGCCACTCTGCGGTCTTCTTAGTTGGCAGTGAACCAGCTGTGCTTACGTCGATAACTGCTGTCGTGTCGAGGGTTCCACCAGTAGCTCGAGATGGTGCAAACAAACTGGTTAGGCTAGCAACCTCCTCACGAACTGGTTTTGTTTTGTCAGTGGCTGGCTTCTTCGCTCGTTTTGAGAAGCTGCATGCCTGCACCATGATCGCCCGCATTCGTGCGATCCGTTTTTCTCTATCACTTACTTGTCCTGGAGTAGTCAACTAATTCAATCGTTGTTGGTAATACCTCTTGCTCGAGAGTACGAACAAGCAAGCAATGCGCTGCCATTGCAATTCGATTGCTACCCGCCAGTAGCGTGGTAACCTGGTGCACTGCCAGCTACTCTGGACCACCAACTGCAGTAAGATCTCCAAGATGCACCTATTATCTAGTAGCCAAACAAAATTCCAGTTGCTTTCAGGGATTTCACCACCACATGTTAGTTACGTCGTACGTAGGAATGGCGGGTGCTTTCGTCCTCATCAGCAACATCAAAAATACTCTCCTAATCGTGGAAGAGAATACGAGCCGCGAGTGGTACATGTACATTGTATCCACGCCACGCGCCGGTATCGCCTGAAGAAGTCCAAACACCCCAAAGTTGTTGCTCCTTCGTTTGCCACGGCCGAACGAATGGATCCTGGGTTTGCTGCTATCCTACTACACCAGCACAACAAGGAAGAGCAATGAAACGGTGAGAGGTATGATACTGCCAAACACACAGGAAGTTAGAGTCGGGGAATCCTTGGAAGAAACCAAATCATGAATCTGGGTCTTTGGCACATCTGCGCCATCGTCGTGCTTGCGGAATGGACGGGCACGAGCATGTTTACTTCAGCCGCGTTAGTGGCACGGCAATTTACAATAAGGCCTCGTCGCTCGAGACCCCCTCTCAGTCCCGATTGCTTTATTGATAAGGATATGCTGTTGGTTGATGACCAGAACCCTGGCCCAACGATACGAGCAAACAAGGGCGACACTATTCAGATAAAGTGGAATAACGAGTCACCAAGGTAAGGTTGGAGAGGGTCGACGTATTTATGAAAGTTGCTTACCGAGGGCTAACGGTGATTTCATGTTGCCGATTCGACGTGATAACCAGTGAAGGCGTTTCAATACATTTTCACGGTTTGATAATGAAAGATCAGCCGTATGCAGATGGCACAGGTACAGTTTCGACATGCGTCGTCGGGCCAATGCAGACATTTTATCAAACTTTTGTAGCCGACAATGCTGGTACCCATTATTGGCATGGTCACACCAGCCTGGATCGCATGGACGGCCTCCAAGGTGCTATCATTATTGATGATCCTGAAGACCCCGAAGAACAAGCACTCCAAGGATTGTACGACGGGGAACGTGTCATCTTTCTTCAAGACTGGTATCACAGAAGTGGACCAGGCATTCGCACAGGTAAGTACAGAGCAATATTTTGATTTTTTCTTTGTCCGCCCTATCCGTCTTAGTTAATTGACTCGTCGTCTCATTTGTCTTACCGCAACGTGTGTCTACCCCTACCGATTGCTGGCAGGTCTCGATTCTGAACCGTTCATTTGGCTGGGCGATGCACAGAGCTTCTTAATCAATGGCGGTGGAAGATACGGAGGTTGCCTATCAGATCCAAGCAATCCACTGTGCGATCCGGACGGGTGTTCAGTGAAGAACTACTTAGCATCAGTCCAGGTCGAAGCTGGGAAAACGTACCTCTTTCGCGTAATCAATGCTGCGGCTCTCGTAGCGGTGAACTTTGCGATCGCCGGCCATTCAATGACAATCGTCCGAGTTGAAGGAACCTATGTCGATCCTTTGCCAGTGGAAAGTCTCGACGTCAACGTGGCCCAAAGGTACGACGTTCTTGTCACGATGGATCAACCTCCTGATACTTCATATTGGATTTCAACAGTGGTGCGACATCGGGGAGGCGTTCAGGGTCACGCCTATTTGCAGTATGACAACGCCGAACCACCAAACGATGAGGATCCCCTACCAGTCCATTTTGAACAGGATGATATGGTAGAGGGCCCTTTGCTCGATGCACTACTTGTGAGCAAGAATGTTGCCAGTCTCCCAAACTCCGATATCTTGGCGCTGGAAGCCACTCGCTCCATTGTATTTGTTGGGACTCAAACTCGATATGCACCCGACAACCTACTGAGATGGGCTTCAAACAATGTCTCTAATGCATTCTCGGCAACACCACTTCTAACAATGGCGTATGAAGCTGTCAACGCCGAAGGTGCCCTGCCGTGGCCTGATACTGAAATAGACAGCACTCTTGTTGTCCCGGACTCGCCCCCGCTTACCTGGCACTACACCAATACCCTACAAGACGAGGGCGTAAGCATCTACCATGACCAGCATGGAGTTGCCATATTCAAGTTTGTGCTTGGCAATGTAGTCGATATTGTCCTGCAGAATGCGCGAGCCCTGAATGGTGCTGCGGAGCTTCATGCATGGCATTTGCACGGACATGCAATGTGGGTGATCGGGCAAGGAATGGGGTCCTTTGATCCAGAAAATGATCCTCAGTTCTTCAATTTGGAGAACCCACTCCTAAGAGACACTATTAGTGTGTGGCCCCTGGGTTGGACTGCTGTGCGATTTTTAGCAGACAATGTTGGAGCTTGGCCTTTTCATTGTGCAATGGCACCTCATGCTGTCATGGGAATGGGTTTCAATGTCATCACCAGTCCACATGCTCAGTTGGCCCTCCCATCACCTGAGGGCCTGGGCGACTGACTGACCCATAGAACAGCGTGAATCTCACTAGCAAGAATTTGAACTTATAGCGTATGCCAAATTAACCGAGAAGAGATCGAAGACAGTGCACCACCAGAACCCGAGTTACCCGCTTCGGATGGCTTACCAGCAGAACCAACAGAGCCCGCAACAGCGTCCCCAGCAGATATCGATACTGAACCACCAGAGCCAGACCCCCCAACAACAGTACCAGACCCTGATATAGAAATTGAGCCCATACCCGATGGGATTTTGGGGTTGGACACCACTACTATCCCTCTGGCAGTCGCTGAGGAAACGCCAGAACCAACAGCACTAGCAGATATTGATACAGAATCACCAGAACCAGATCCCCAAACAATGGTGCCAGAACCCGATATCGACATTGAGCCAATGCCGGACGAGACAATGGGATTGGACATCACCACTATCCCTGCTATCGTTGCCGAGGAAACGGTACTCCCAACTGAAGAAGATCAAACTGAGGTTCCAACAATGGTTGAGCCAGAGACTGAAACACCAGCTACAGATCTTCCAACAATGCCAGAAATAGCTCTTCCAATGCTGGAGCTGCAACCGGTGACAGAGTTGCCCGAGGTCAACATGGAAACAGAAGAAGCAGCCCAAGCAACCCTTCCAATTCTTGTGCTCAAGACAGACGAACCGGAACCACCAGCCCAACCGGAAACCGAGTTGCCGATTCTCACATTAAAGACAGAAGTTCCTTTGGAAGATGATGATGATGTCACAACGGAGGATTTGCCGATAGTGGACATTGAAACGGAATTTCCGTTGGAGTCGGACGCTGTTACCGAAATGCCAGAAGAGGAGGCGGCGATCTTCGATGTTGGAGGAATGCCCAACATGACACTTTTGGAGGATGACTTGACGATGGATCCGAATTCAACATTCGCGGCAAACGAAACTGAAACCGAAACTGATAGAGCTATTGAGGAGAGCTCATCCAAACATGGCCGTAGCAACATGTGGTTGCTTGGGTTCACCACCTCATTGATTGTCTGTGGTGCTGTCCACTTCGCAGTGTAGCTTCTCTGATAGAAATGGCGATGTGTCAATGGATGGAAGCGTTCCATGCTGTCCCTCAAGTTGGAGATACCCAAATGACGACTATCCTACGGTAGACCTTCCTTGGCGAGGGAGATAGATACAGCAACAAGGGGAAGGATTTGACACTGCAAAGCTTTGCGAAAACTTCAAGCCCATTGATTTATTAAAAGCAACCATTTTAAAACTAGTGGAAGCACAATGCATTGCTGTTGTTAGAATGCGTATTTATTTACCCACCAGTGCTCGCGGCGTTTGGAGAGCTATGCTACCTGTCTTTCTTCACCATTTCATTTTCTTGTCTCATTCCATTGTAGTTTCGGTTTGTGCGACTTCCCAGCTATTTATTGGTTATCTGTCACTTGTTCCTTCTGCCGTTTTTCTTTCTTCCTCCTCTTCTTGTCTTTGTTTTCCTTCTTTGTAGATTTCTTCTCGCTGGATGGTTCTCCTAATATTGGCTCCAAGTTCATGACTTGCTTGTCCTTGTCTCCTTCTGTGTCTTGAGCAGGGGCTTTGCTGCCGTGCTCTTCCGCGTCTTTCTTGCCGTTGGTTTCTTTGTTGCTCTCGCCATCTTTCTTCTTTGATTTTTTGTCTTTACTTTTCTTCTTGTCCTTCTTGGACTTTTTGTCTTTCTTTTTATGTTTGCGCTCCTCTGTGTCATCATGGCTGGTTGTTGTTGGCTGCTCAGTTAGTTGTGCATTGTTGTTGTCGCCATCGTCCTTCATGGTCCCATCCACAGTTGATGTCACTTGCTGGTTGTCATTCTCGCTATCCGGCTGTCTCTTGTCTTTCTTCTTCTTCTTATTCATTGACTTGTTGAGAGCTTTGCCAGAATCTTTGTCGTCAACTTTCGTTGTTGTTGACAACTCGTTTGTCTCCTTGCTAGAATCGGTTGAATCTTTGTCATCAACTTTTGTTGTTGACAACTCGTTTGGCACTTTGCTAGAATTGGTTGTTACCAAGGCGTCCTGTTGGCTCTCGTTTGTTTCATCCGTATCCTGCTTCTCCTTTTCAACTGTAGAAGAAGCCTGTTCTGTGGTTCGTTTGGACAATTTTCGCAGCTTTCGTTCCAGCAGTTGCTCGACTCTCGTGACTTGGGCTGGTGTCATTCCCTCGCCATTGGTTTTCTTGTACCGTTTGAGGAGTGACTTGTTTGCCTTTTGTTGTTGCTTACTGTCAGTAGTCGTTGATGTCATGGGTTCTTCCACTACTTTTGTTGGACTTGTTTCTTTCGTTGTCTTTTCGTCTTGTTGTTGTTGTCTGGATTTTGCCTTTCGTTTCCGTTCATCCCGGGCCACCAAGATCCGCGCTCGTTCCATTTCGGCATTTGTCAGAGTGAGATCTTTGGCCAGATATCGTTGTCGCAGAGTCTGGTTGTCCAGAATCTGTTGCTCGCTGGCTTGTGGTTTGGACCATGCGACGGCTTTGCTCGTTTCAGGATCATGGCGTTGTTTCTTGATGGGTCGGCGGTGAGCAGTCTCGTGATCCTTGGATCCATCGGCAGGAGATCGTTGTCTTCCATTGGACGATGACGACCGAGGCTGCTTTTGGGAATCTGCTTTTTGCTGCTCGTCCACGTTTCGATTGCGTTTCAGAGCCCGCCGTTGCAGAGCTTCAGCGGATCGAGTCATGGTTACGTTGTCACAACTAACTTTACAGAACCACAGGTTTAGCTTGGGCTGCTCTTGATCTTGTTGCCCTGGCTACCAGGTTTGTGAGACAAAAAATGAGTGGCGGGTGGTGGCAAAGCAAAACTACCTGCAGAGCTGTCAAAACGGAAGCTTTGGCAAGGACACCAATGTCTCCATGTCTCCATCAAAGCCAGGGCGGCACATGTACTGTTTCTTTACTGTACTGTACCGCGATTGCACTGGACGATCATCGACAAAAAAGGTCAATGGTGAGGTTCATGCCACTCTTCTTTCTCTCTGTCCTCCTGCCCCCTTGAAGGCTCCCAAAGCTAACCAGCCTTGTGTCCTTCTTTCTCCTCTTCACGAAGCAATGTGACAACTGACGATTGAAAACATTCAGACATGCATGACTGAATGAGGAGTTTGTGGCGTGCAAGAAGTTTCGTCGCCCAATCTTGACCATGTTCCTCCAATCGAGCTTACCATGAACCTTTAGGATTCGTTTGCATGATCCATCTGGAGCTTCTCAAAACGTTGGATAGAGAGAATATGGTTTGGAATGTAGGCAATGGTGACGGATACAGGGCGAGTAAGTCTTCGAGGTGGGTGTAAAGAAAGGACGTCCTCTGACAGAAGGACGTAAAAAATGCTTTTACAAGTACTGGTTCTATAGGTGGCAACAGTAAGTGTAGTGTGGATAAACAATGTTATACTTTCCAGTTGGATTAACCAGTCTTGCTTCCCAGTGGCACAGCTCACATACCTATTGCAACCAAAGTTAACAGCACTCATAATTCTCGCAAGACCTGCTCCATCATAGCTTTCCATGCAAGCTCCGGTTTCAAAACATAGAGGTGAGTATTGTTCCACATAGTCACTAGTTCAGCTGGTGGTTTAGTATCAGCGTTCTTGGACCACCTAAACGGTACATTGAGTGATCCAGTCAGAAAAGCATCCTCCTGCATCGTCGCATACTGTTCTTCTCTCTCGGGAGAAACCACATAAACGTTGACTGCAACCGTGTCAGCAATCTGCAGCCGCCTCACACGAAGTTCGTACAAAGCCCGGACAGTGAATGGGTGTGATTCCTGCCAAGTAAATTGAATCACGTTGTGAGTCTCATCCAGGCTCGGTTGAGAGAAGACAATGTCAGCCAAGGGAAAGTTGGTATTGACAGACACAAGAAGCTTGTCTGGCTGCCGCAGCATTTCGCCAACATCCCACAATCTCATCACCTCCCTCTTTGTTGTTCGGAAGCTAGACCAACTCCCATTTGCGCCAACTCTTTTGGAAAGCCACTTAATATTGCTGCCCCTGCTGAGCAAGTCCGTTCCAACAGCCTCAAGGTTCTTTCCCGATAAATCAACAATTTCATCATTTAGACGCTTCAGGACTATTTCCAACTTGTCTTTCAAAGAGTGGCTATTGATAAGGTCATCAACTTTGGTCTTAACCACCGCACTTGTGTACTCTAGAACTTTCTCGTCAAACACATCTCGACCCCTTTGAAAACCATCGTAACAAAGAATGTAGCCACTGACATAGTTTCCCGTCGCATCACGGTCAATGTCATGATATTTGTTGAGGAGAGCCCGGAATGAGATATTGGCTAACCGTCCTTCGAGCTCTCTCCTTACCTTGTCAAAGTCCGGGCCAAGAACATGTCGCACAACCCCACCGAAATAGCGATGCCGATTCAGGACATCATCTTCTGGCAACCCCAGATTAGAGTCTTGAGCAACAGCATTCATTTCTGAGAATGACCAAGGCCAAAAGTATAGCTCCTTGTATCGAGGACTTTTTCTGTACTCCGCAATTCTCTTAACGCAAGGAGAAAGAGTAGCGAGCGAGGGACATGTTTTCAGGTTCATCGGGGGCACATCCCTGAAAAGTTCCGGTTCATACATGTACAGAGTGGAATTCATCCTGTCAATGATATATGCCATAGGAAAATGCATTTTGTCAGGAACCCACAGGTAGGCTTTGCATTCTTTCAGATCGATGAGGAAAATTTCGGCTCCAACTTGGCGAATAACAAACTCGAATCTGTTGGGGTTGTTGTCACCAGCAAGGAGCTGGCGAAGAACGAAGATTTGATACCAGCTCTTGCCCGTTCCCGAATTTCCAACCAGCACAATTCTGCCTCGTCTTCGTTGTTGCCAAAATCCGTTCATCTGTGTTAACAGGGCATTATATCCATCCCGAACATAGAAGTTCTTTTCGAACACGCTTTCAAGCCCAGCAAAACCACCCGTAATATCTCCAAGCTCGTAGCACGTTAGCCCCGCAGCTTCACCCATTTCCTGGATTTCCTCAACAGACCTTTCGATAGCATTCTTCAGCACCTTTAGTTCATCCGACGTCACAGGGTCAAAAGACAGTCCGGTTTGGTCGATGAAAATGTTAAGGCGATCATCCGATACATTCGATTTGATTTTTGCTTTGATTGTGCCCTCAACTGATTCTGTGACGACGGCGTTAGGCGCGTCTTCCATTGCTTGGTCGGGTTGATGTTGATTACTTACGTGAAGCGCTCATTGTCTTCTTGTGTTGCGGCTCGAGGGATGCAGCAGGAAGAGTGCGTGATGCTTATCAGGGCTGGCCACGGAGCGTGCTCGTTACTCGATCGTTGAGAACGTGGAACTTTTTCCGCACGAATTACGTCTGATGCAAAAGTATAGGGTTGGAGTTGTTGCAACCGGTACAGAGAGCACCTCCCCTCTCACATACATTTTCATTTACTGGACCCTCCGCTACATGTATGACTGAAACATCACGTCCCATTCCCGAATAGAAAGCCTACCCATCCATTCAGACCGTTAAGAGAGCGCGTCGAACTACATCTCGGGTACTTGCTCACAACTCCTCCCACTGGACAGAAGTACTGTATCATTGTGTCAAGTAAATTTGCAGCACATGTACCGACGTAAGATGGCTTTTTAAAAAATAGCATCGAATCTTGAGGAAAGATATCCAAATCAAAATTCTTTCACGAGCATCAATTATCACATCAGGCCTGTTTTCCCTCATGTCCTGCCTCCACCCAAGAGAAACAACGTTGAAGATCTGGAAGGACTCCTGTAGATATCTGTCCTATAACATTGAATGTGGTTTGCTAACTGGTTGGCTTGTGGATCTCTTCAGGCAATGATAGTGCATTATCATCCAGTAGCTATACAGTTCACAACTTGCGTGTGCTTCTCTGTGGCTGTTCCTTGAAGTTTCGAAACAATCCAAGAAGCATGGTATTAGCTAGCTGGCTGCAAGGTTCAGTATTTTATCCTCTTTGTCCAACTTCGCTTGATGATGATGAGGATCGAATCCAAATGCCAGTTAGCATTACGGTACAGGTATCATCTTCTTGCGCCTCCAATGGAGTCCGCAAAGGAACCAGAGCCGAGGCATAGCGGCAAAATGCAAACTGGCTTGGGTTGCTGACTTCAGCCGCTTTTACCGGTAGCCCCTTGCGTGCTCCCCAGTTCCCTTCCCGTTACCCCTAGTATCCCAACTCGTTCGCTGGATTGTTAATGCAAAGTTGACCTTCACAACACGCTCTTAAATCACCATGACGCCTTTATCCACCAGGTCACGATTGCCGATCCTTCGCTTCGCTTCCATTCGCTTCCAGTCCCGTCCAGCTTGAAAAGACACAAAACACACACAAAAGACACGAACGATGCGCCTCAACACCGCTCGGCAACCTTTTTGCCCACCAGTTAGTTATCCTCATCGAATACATTTAAGACTGGGCGAATAAGATCGAGCGTCATTTTGCGGTTGACGGACAGGCAACGGACGATGGTCAGAAAAATTAAAAAGATCGCACATGTAGACTTTCAGCGGCGCGCTACGGTGCGAAAGAAGTAGTTTTGGGTCATTCTTGACACGTTGTTATTCACTTTTATATAGAGAGTAGCACACCCCCAGAATCCCCGCAGAATTCTCCTTCTTAAGGCGTTCACGCCTCGCCAACTACATTTTTACGGTGAACGACGGACAGACGCTGGTGATCGATCTTATTCGCCCTGTCTTATTTATTTAAAGAACACCGGAGGTGTAATAGATATACCGGGCGAGCTGAATTAAAAGATGGGCCGGCATAGTAATATTGTTGAAGTTTGGTGTCATTAGATTTTTCCGTCTGACAAAGTGGTGTGGTAGCTTACGGGAGTTTAGAGGTGTGCAACATGAGACATTAGATTTT